GACTCGTGCAACATACAAAAAAATCATAAATTTTACTGGCCCATTTGAGTAATCATTTATTTCGTATTTTTTCGAAATTTATTGAATATTTTGGTGAATCTAAAGTTTGAGAACTGAGTTTCCTTACAAAATCCTAATGATGGTTTCTTTATTTTTCTAGGGTGTTGAGTTAAAATTTAGGTGTGCTTGAGCACCCCCCAAAAAGAGGCTAAAATTGTCATCCCTGACTTTCAGCTACCAAAGCGCTACATTTTAGGTAAATATCTGTAAAATTGTCATAGTTGCAGACATTTCTGTGTCCAGTAGGGATGTGTGATATGGCATAAAATTCATATCCCGATCTGTATTGTGATGGGTGGCGATAACTATATATATCATGATATGTTTTTGATATAAAACTTGCAATAGGAATGAAAAAAAAGTATTGGGTGTCATTTTTCCAGCATTTATGTTAAAAACTGCTATACCACAAAATAATCTCAATCAAGAAAATTCCAGTACTAGGTCCAGAGAGTTTTAAATAAAAACAAATCAAGTATTAGGCTTCTTTCTTGTAATGCAAAATATATCAAATGTAGTTTTAGCCATATGTTTGAAACAAAAGAATATGATGTTAACTCTTAACAGTTTCCAGTCTTCTTACTTAAAAAAACAGCAACAGAGCAGCAAGTTCACACTGAAAACACTTCACCCTCCAACCCTCTAGTGGGCGTCTCCTTCCGCTTTCAGGAGAGCTGACACAAAATGGCGACCAGTTTCCTCTGTGGCTTTGACCAGAGAGTCTTGCAGTAAAATCACACAACACAGCATTCTTTTCACAGATCATAGAGCAAGTTTAACCCCCTTTTTTTTTTAGCACAAATGCACTCTCTAAAGCTAACCAACTATTAATTTAACTTTCGACAGAACACAGTGTTTTGCACATGCGTCCGAATATGGCAATAATACGGCAAGACGGCCGTAGTTAGCTTGTAGCTTTGCTACTTAGCGCTAGAAGAAAACAGACTTTAATACCATTTACGCACAGTTTTCAATTAAAACAACGTAACAGTTAAATCTGACAACTCTGATTTTACATTACTGCGGTTAGCCGGTAGATGACAGATCTCTATCATTGGCTAAATGTCTATTGTTTCTACCGTGTACCGCATATCTCACGCATTCCTAGTGTCAGGTGAGGTTGATTAGCTGTTGCTGCCATCTTAAAATGGGTTGACTCCAAAAGTTAATGAGTCTTAAATGTGCAGTGTTCACTTTCTGAGGGTTTCATTGAAATCCATCCACTGGTTCAAGAGATATTTTGTTAACACTACATACAGACAGGTAAAATCCTTATCGCCCTGCTTTCACAAGTGGACAGTAATGATCCCAGAGGTTAGACAGCACCTCAGTTAAATGACCACAAAGAGAAGAAAACGTCACGAAAAGAAGAGCCAAACAACGCAAAAAATAAATATAACTTCAATATTCTCATATGGCCTCTAAATATGAAGGTAAGCAAAACAGCCACAAAAAGAAGAAAAAAAATATCTGGGGTGTAAAATGGTTTAAAATGTAGCTACATTTTTCTAATTAGACACAAAACGACCACAAAAACTAGCAGCTTAAACGAGATGCTAATGTGCAGTAGTCACTTACAGAAAAATTGCACTATCCCCAAACGCACGCCTCAAGTGGAAAATTAATGCTAAAATGACTGCAATTGTACCAAAACTCACACGAGAACTCTAAATAGTTTTAAAATATGAAAATTATGTTATTTTGTCACGTCTAAGATGATTCACATGTTTGATTAAGACTAAAGATCCAAACAGGGCAAAGCTTCTCTGATTGAATGCAGACACAGTTTCAGAAAAGTCCCTCGCTACTTTGCGGTTCAACTTTCGTGGACTCGCTCTTTTGTGGTTTTTTTTTTATGTAAGATTGTACATGACATACGATTATCAACTTTAATATTAATCACGTGATTGGGACAGTACAGGATAAAAAGTTAACAAAAATAATAATTCGGACATGTGCCGCCATTTCGTAGTTTTCTTTCACTAAACCTATACCGGTGCTTAATTTGAACCGGATTTTGCCAGAAAAAGATCTGGGAACTCTCTTACGTTCCGGAAACTGTTTGCTTGGATCCGGCAACTCTCAGGCTTACTAATAAAATTTTTTTGAACAAATATCACTGCCTTGTCGTTTGGAGAGCCATGCTTGAACCGTGTCACTCCCCTCTGCTGCTGTTTTTATGATGCCCTGGATGCTTGTCACCCACAGCATGCATGCAACAAAGTAAACTCAAAGCAAGAGTAATACCTGCACCTTTTTTCCTCTTTTGCGTTGACAAATTTTTTTAGTTTAATCGATGAGTTTGTCAAAACACAATTTTGATGTAGTAATGTTTAATAAATGTTAGGACTCTATTCTTTACTAATAAAATATATGTTATGTCATTAAACAACTTGTCAGGTTCTTGTCTTGTGAGCATGCACGTTCCTGAGGACACAAACACCCCCAGCCGGTCCGCCCGCTATTTGCGTTCCTGCATCGATCAGTTTACCAATTAAGCCCTGGCCTACACTGTACCGCCAGTCAAAAGAACTACACTACCCAGAACTTAACTGTGCTTCCGGTCGCTGCTTTCTGCCAAAACGGAGGGAAACTTTTGAAACACAAAGTCAGAAGTAACGATCTATCTAACAAAAGAAAGTTAAATCTTGGGTAAAGAATAGTGACTCCATATTTAAAGACTGTTTCACGTGCACAGGCTGGAAGGTCTTCAGAGAAGCTGCTGAAAATGAGGAGGAGCTAGACCTGGAGAAATACACATCCTCAGACCTGGGGTACATTAGTAAATGTGCTGATGATGTCATCACCATCAGATATGTTAAGAGCTACCCGAACAGGAAGCCTTGTCTCAATGAAGAGGTGCGCACCCTGCTGGAAGCCAGAAACACTGCCTTCAGGTCTGGAAACTCACAGGAGCTGAGAAGGACAAGGAAAGAGCTGGTTGCTGGTATTAAGAAGGCCAAGGCCACATATGCATAGAGGATCGAGGGTCAATTCACCTCACAAGATCCACGGAGCATTTGGAGGGACATTAAGTGTATAAAAGATTATAAAGGCAGAGGTGCACAATGCCCTAGAGACCCATCATTGCGTGATGACCTCAACAAGTTCTACACACACTTTGAAGACTAGAACAGACCGCTCAGCACCAGACTGACCTCATCATTGGAAGAAGAGTTTATCATCGTGACCTCAACCGAAGTGAGGAGTACTTTCAAGAGGATTAATCCTCACAAAGCAACTGGACCAGACAACGTCTCCAGGAAGGTGCTGAGAGACTGTGCCCATCAGCTCTGCGCTGTGCTGGCTGACATCTTTAACTCCTCACTTACCCTGGCAACAGTTCCAATCTACCTGAAGACCACCACCAGCATCCCAGTCCCAAAAAGCTCTACAGTGACTGGTCTGAATGACTATTGGCCAGTAGCCCCTCACCCTGATAGTCGCTAAACGCTTCAAAAAACTGGTCATGACCCACATCGAAACAACCATCAACATCAACGTGGACCACCAGTACACATAACGCAAAAATTGATCAATAGAAAATGCCATCTCCTCTGTGGTCCACACTGCTCTCACCCACCTGGAGAAGAAGGACTCCTACGTCTGTATGCTCTTCGTGGACTTCATGTCTGCCTTCAATATCACAATTCCCCAAACCCTGATGGACAAACTATATACACTAGGACTAAGCCCCTCCATTTGCAACTGGGTACTAGACTTCTTAACAAACAGACCACAGTCAGTGAAGATCCACAACTTCTTTCTCCACCATAACGCTCAGCACTGGCTCCCCTCAGGGCTGTGTGCTGAGCCCTCTCTTGTTCACTCTGCTCCGGCATGACTGTACACCTACTCCTTCAGGCTGTCATATTGTAAAGTATGCAGATGATACAACGGTGGTTGGATATATCACAAACAACGATGAGTCCAGCTACAGGCAGGAGGTGGAAGACCTGGAGAGCTGGTGCATGAAGAACAACCTTCACATCAACGTGAAGAAGAGGAAGGAGATGGTCGTGCACTTCAGATGGAACAAGCTGAGACGAGCTGGTCTGGGAAGCTCGGTCCTCACCTCCTTCTATAGGTGTGCAGTGGAGAGCATCCTGTGCTCCAGCATCAACATGTGGCATGGAGGCTGCACAGCTGCAGAAAGAAAAGCTTTGCAGAGAGTGGTGAAGACTGTTGAAGTCAGCCTCCTCACCATCACAGACATCTACACCTCCAGATGCAGGAAGAGGGCTACCTGCATCATGAAGGACCTCACTCACCCAGCACACACACTTTTTGCCCTGCTCCCCTCAGGAAGGACTGAGGAACAGCTTCTACCCTGAGGCTGTTCGACATGAATCTCTAACCAGAATAATCACTGTGAAAAAAATCACATCATGTTGCTGTGTTCATGCGTACTCATCTACTCACACAGACTCATGTTCGTGCTGCTGTTCGGTGCATTGTTTTTGTACTACTAGTGCTTAGTGTATTTTTAGTTTAACGTTTTTCTTAGTTGATATTTCAGATCCTATTACTGTTTTTCTTTTACATTTTATACTTTTGTTGGATGTAACTGGGTCCCTGTGTACATAGTTTTGTTCCACCTCATGTACCACATGTGATGCGAATGACAAAAAAAAAAAACGAATTGAGCTCACAGAACTGGCAGGAAAGTTGCAAAAAATCCTGAACTCATCCATCAAGGTGAGTACCCATATAAAATTTTGCAGTACTGTAACGTATGTTGTTAAAATGACGTAGGTTTACGAGTTTAGAACATTCCAAGAGTGTGGGAAGGGTTTATAAAACCGTAAAATATACATAAATGTGTTCCTACTTTGCGGTTTTTCACCTATCATGGTGGTGTCTGGAATATAACTCCCGCGATAACCGAGGGACTACTGTAAACGGAAAATAAACAGCGGATGAGGGTGTGCACAATCTACCTGCTCTTTGACAGATGCCAAGAGGTTGGTGGTGGTGGTGCTCTCTGATGGTGGTGGTGGTCCAGCACCTTCCCCCTCTGCCTTCCCCTCTTCCATATCTCTGCTTTGGTCTCAGGCACCTCCTCTGACCCTGCAGGACAAGGAGGCGGCTTAAAAAACAAAAACTGATGGGATTCAGGTTTGTGCATCTGAAGCCGCTCTCGTGCTGCTGACCTTAAGGTACCACCACGCTCCTCATGCATCCCTCCACAGTGCATAACGGAACATGCAGAAGCTCAGTAATACCATTACAGCTTTGAACCTGCAGACCAGTAAGCCTGGCTGTAATTCTGCACGCAGGCATAGATTCCTGCACATGTTTATTCATCTCATCTGCAGGTGTGCATGCAGCGCTTGCATTTATAACTGCATCACGAGGAACGTCCATCATCATCATCATCATGTGCCACATGCAGCCCGTCAGTCAAGACAAGGACGAGGTCACATCGACCCAGAGAGGCACCCGCCTTCAGCGCGCGACTCACCAGCCAGATGTTGCTGTTAGAAGCAGGCCACAGCTGGCTCGATCCGTCCGGTTACATCCTCCTTCTCCTCCTGGCTGCACGCGACAGTGACCGCTACATTTCCCACGCGCAGGCGTCCCAAACAAAACCGATCCGTGCACGTCCGCGCGGGTTTCCTGTGCTGATTTAATGAGTCTCTCCTCTAATTGTTGCAACTGTTTATAGGCGGTGAGGCGTTTAAACGCGGTCGTCCATTCCTGGTGTCCGCGCGCGCGGCAGACAGCCTCCTCCGCCGAGCATCAGCGGCGTGACGTCACCATGCGGCTATGGATTATTTTCTGATAAAAGGATCGATCCGGCGCCGCTGCGCGCCTCCAGGCTGCAGCTGCAGGGGACCGATGCAGCGCGCAGCAGCCAGTGTGCGTGTGCGCGTGTGTTCCCACAGGTAACCGCTTACACAGGCGTCCCCACGTGGCCATATAAACAAGTATGTGTGTGTGTGTGTGTGTTTTCTCCACCCAGACCAGACAGCTCTTTTATGGGAAAACAAATCATCAATTTTATTTATCAGAAGCTCCTTAATGCAAAAACTACATTTTTATCCATAACAGATCCAGAATGTGACAATCTGTTAAAGGTATAGTTCAGATCTTTTTAAAATGGGGTGCTGCAGCTCTTTGAAGAACCTTGCCACTTTACAATAAGGCTCCCCATATAATGTCTAATAAATACTTGTAGTTTACAGATGCATTATTAATTCCTCTATAAACACTTAATTAATGCATAATAAACAGTTTATGATTTATAAAGGGTGACTGAGACAAAACTGAGCTGTTTCTTTCCAAATAGTGAACCAAATCTGTTCACCTATATTTCAACTAGAGTTGTTAGATTAAACATTTCAGACAAAGTTACTACTTTGTAAGCACAATAAGCATTTGTAAACCTATTTTTTTTAGGATATATTAGTTGTAGATACTTAGTGCAGTGATAATGTACATGCTAAAGAAATACAGTATATAAATAGTATAGGCAGGTAAATATGCTAGTAGCTAAATATGCTAGCATAAGTAGCTAAAAAAGCTAGTAGCTAAATATGCTAGCATAAGTAGCTAAATATGCTAGTAGCTAAATATGCTAGTATAAGTAGTTAAATATGCTAGTAGTTAATATGCTAGTATAAGTAGCTAAATATGCTAGTATAAGTAGCTAAATATGCTAGTATAAGTAGCTAAATATGCTAGTAGCTAAATATGCTAGTATAAGTAGTTAAATATGCTAGTAGTTAATATGCTAGTATAAGTAGCTAAATAATCTAGTATAAGTAGCTAAATAATCTAGTATAAGTAGCTAAATATGCTAGTATAAGTAGCTAAATATGCTAGTACCATCCCTCGTCTGCACTAGGCAGTAGTATGATTATATTGTCCTGTTTGAGCTCTGGCAGGTGGTGTTCCTACAAGTTTAAATTAAATCCACAATGCTCGGAGGAGCTACATTAGCTCATACTGTTCGCACATAAACAAATACCGGTTTTGATCGGCGCGGGAAGTTGCGCCCATAATTCACGCAAGGCACCATGGGGGCTAGGAATAAGGTGGATATTGTATTGTATGTAAACATGTGGTTTCTCTTGCATATAAATATGACATACAATTTTTCTTCTCTGAGGAGACAAAAAAAAAAAAAGGTACACGTGTACATGCACATGCCCATTTATTTAAGCGACATTAAATAAGTTTAAAAGCAGTCGTAAACATAAGCAGGTGAAATTCTCCTCAGTTACAAAACACATGGAGAAACTTGTTTTAGAGCTGCCTTGTTCAGTATGCACGCATTTCTTGAAATCACAGAATCTACCACCACATGAAAAATAAATAAATACAAGTAAGAGGACTGAAAAGTTATAAGCCACTAAAGGTTCCCACTACTGCTCGTGTAAACTGAAAACGCCACCAAGTCACACCATGTGGAGGAAAAACATAACAGAACGCCATTTACCTGAATATTTAACAGTTGGTCAAAATAAACCCGTTCCTCAAAAAAATCAAAGGATGATACATTCGCCGTTCCTTGTACTGCAAAGTAAAATACAGATCAGGTTTGGAACAACTCAACACCTTTCAATTCTACAAACACAAACTACAAATAATAAATTGCATTGAGCGAAACATGCCTGTACCGATGATGTCTCGTTGGGATTGTATATTATTTTCCAACGAGACTCCATTACCGCTGTTGAATTTATTAAAACACATTGCTGCAATCCTGTTATTTTAAAACGCTAAAATCTCCTGCGGGATTAGGATTATACACTCTCAGCTCAGACGCGCCTTCAAATCAAGACCATCCAAGAACATTTTATATTTTTTCACCGTTTCTAATGGATTTGTTCAGTTCTTTGACCTGCTTTTAAAAAATCTAAACAGTGTCGACTAAAAGTCCCGCGTCACTTTGACCGCAAGTTTGATCTTTCATTCAGGGAACACAAAAATGGGAAATACCGGTAATACCAAAGAAGGAGAGAGAAAGAGAACTCGGTAAAGAAAAAGTTAAAATGTCACAGTGGTAAACATTTTTCTACACAAAAACACCATAAAATAGAGAATTTAGGACAGTGGTTCTCAAACTAGGGTCCCCGGACTCCCGAGGGACCCGCAAGCTAATGCTTGGGGGGTCCACAAATTTTATTTTATTTTTTTTACAAGCGCGTAGATGTTTAACAACCAATTAAAATATACCAAAATGCAAGAAATCACATCTACTTTATTCAAAATTTTCTGGGGGAGGAGCCCTAGACCCTGTCGTCCCGCCCCCTATTTGTGTTCCAACATATCAATAGGTTTACAAATTAAGTCCTGTTACTTGGTACGACTACTGCAGTTATGATTCAGTTCAGTTTCAGTGTTTCCCCTAGATAACTTGCCATAGAGGGACGCTCATCTTGTCCGTGACTTGTCGACCGGGGGTTGGGGGGCACACACGTCCGAGCTGCATGCTGGGAGACGAAGCATTGTTTGTACAAACATTTTTTTTTGTGTGTGTGTGTGTGGGGGGGGGGGGGGGGGTCATGAGGGAAGAGGCAGCTTGAGAGTTGCCTTTAACTTTAGCTTTTTAGCTAGCGGGCCTGTGCTGTGTGCCGCTAGCTACGCCAGTGCCGGGGGAGGGGCAGGTTTCGTTGACAGGGCGGGGCACCCCGCTTTTAGAATGGTAGGGGAAACACTGAGTTTTCTGTAATAATTTGAAGTAGTGGAGATACATTTGTGTTCATTATGTGAATAAGTAAAGTTTTAAAGTGGTTTTTAATACTGTTAATTTTCTCAAAACTGTAATTTTTGGAAGTTGAAATTAAAAATATTGTTAATTGTGTCTTGAATAAAAAAATACCCCCATGTTAAAAAGTATTAAATTGTATCAACACCATTACAGAACAGGTCTTAAGTATTTATGTTACACAAATATTTCCATTGCATTAAAGAGACAAACTGAAGAAAATTACCGGTATTTAATAAACATGAAGGTTATGAGGGGGTCCCTGAACCCAAAAAGTTTGAGAACCCCTGGTAACCAGATCGTGAACTAACATGAACCGATGTCTACAAACCAAAGACATTTAAGTGTAGTTGGCAGATTCAGAACTCCCTTTTTAAAAACCCAATCCACTTTACAGAACCTTTCAGTTTGTCAGTCTGCAGAGGAAAACCACACTTTTATTTTTTTTGTGAGAACAAAAAAAGTAATTTATTTAACAGCGAGAGGAAAGCTTGGCACTATTGCTGACTATCAGCTTTGTCTGATTTGTTAATATTTTTAGCTTTTAGCGAGTAAACTATAAATGCAGCAGTTATCGTGTAAACTTTTTCATGTTTAACAAAAAATAATAATAATTTTGCTCTTTCCGACAGATTACCGTCTCAACTAAATGATCGCCCACTAGAACACAAAAGCCTTTCATGTCACTTCATAAGGCAGGAGCCCCCCTCATCGAAACAAACTATACTTCACATCACTGGAACCACAACGTCTTCACACGAACATCACAACTTCACCAGCTCGATCTTCATACAACCGAGGAAGGAAACTAACAGCAGCTCTACGGAGAAAGGAAAACTGTAAACAAGCCAGCAGCTGCTAATTTCCAGCCCTGCGCCGAACTTTTGTCTTTCAAATCGAGGAGTACGACAAATTTAAATTAAAACTACAACCAGCGCCGACAAGATTTACACACACTTCTTTCTTGAAACGAAGTGGAGCGACTCAAAGAGGAGAGCATACTTGCATAAACATAAATACAAAAACTTAACAGTCAGTGGATAAACAACAGATGAGTGAACCATAACGAGGGGGGGTTGGAGGGGTACAACCCCCCTCGTTTTATTTTCTAGCAGAGCAGAACCTCGGCGCACTACTCCAGATCATCCACGTCCTCCGTCATGATGGTGCTGGTCTGTTCTGAGGTCACACCTGGAAAACGGACACAGTGTTACTACTTCCACTTAGTTGGTGCCATTTTAACAATTCATATAAAAAACGTTCAGCTTCATCACAATAATGTGATACAACTCGTAATTTTACATTTACTTCAGCAAAGTGGCTCTGTTTTTGTCTTCATGCTCCTGTAATATTTTTATGGTTAGGCTAATTTAAGCTTTAACCTACTGCCCCGCTAATTTTAGCCTCTATACTTTAATGCTAGTTTTAGCTTTTTCTACCTCGGTGGCTTTAGCTACTGTCTTGCTAGCTGTGTGAATGTTTATGAAGCATTCACACTATTGTGATCCATATTTCTTCTGTACGTTTTTCAGCATCTTTCTCATTCTACAATTTTTGTGCTGTTTAAACAAATCATATCAAATCATTCAGCTCTTTCAGCAGAAGGGTGCTATGACTTTATGTTTAGGTGCAACTTTAGCTTTTTGAAATATTTAGCCTTTTCTGCCACTTTTTTTCCTCATAGAAAATTAATTGAGCTCATTTTACCTCCTTCAAATCTTTAGATGTGTTTACAACCTTTTACTGCTCCTTTCACATTTTGTTCTGCTTCAGCTTCTTTCAGCTTCCTTGTGCAAATTTAAACTCTTTCTCCGCTACTTCCAGCTGTTTTTTCAGCCTTTTGGTGCTCCCTTCAGATTATTTTTGCCAACTACATTTTTGTGCTTCTTCTAACTTCTTTCTAGTAATTTCAGCTTGTTATGCTCCTTTCAGCTGATTTCTACAAGTTTCACCTTTTCCCACAATTTCAGCAACAATTTAGCAGTTTTTATGCTAATTTTATTATTTTTTCCAGCTAATTCCACATTTATTGTATTAATGTAAACTTTTTTCAGCCCAAGTCAGCAAAAATATGCTCTCCACTTCCTTCTGGTAATTTAAGCTTCTTTCTGTTTTTCTCAGCTATTTTCAGCCTTTTTTTTTTTTTTCAGCTTTCCGGAAAATTTTCCCTTTTTTGTGCTAATTTCCGCTTCTTTCAGCAAACGTGTTCTTTCTACTTTCTTCTGCTAACTTGAGCTTTTACTACCTGTTCAACTACCTTAGCATTTTCTATATAATTTCGGCTGTTATTTATTTTATTTTTTGTGGTAATTTCTGCTACTGTCAGCCTAATTAACTTCTTCCTGATAATTTCAGCTCATAATGCTCCTTTCAGCTTGTGGGATGATGTGCACTACTGGCTTTTTCCCTAAAATTCCAAATTTACGTGAATTTGCTAAGAATGACATTATTTTTGGATCCCTGAGAAAAGAAAAAGATCTTGAAAGGTTATTAAATGTAATTATTGGTATGGGCAAATATTTCATTCACAAGTGCCGTTTCCTTAAGACAAAACCATCATTCCCCACTTTTCACAAGGAACTCTGCCACCTCTTCTTATCTATGAAGTTCATGGACAAACATCAAGGTGTGGAGTTGTTTCATATGATAAACAAACTAAAACTACTGGAAAACCCCTAGTCTTTAGTTTATTTTTATTATTTTTGTTATTTTATTCTATTTGATTCTTGTATTATTATTATTATTATCATCATTATTATTATTTTTTAATTATTATTTCTGTGTTTGGAAGCAACCTGTGCTGTTTTTTTTTTTTTCAGATTCGAATATCTCTGATTTTGTTGCCATATTTGTTGTAAATGCCGTTTATAAAATAATAAAAATATATAAAATTAAATAAAGCTCCTTTCAGCTTAATTATGCTAGTTTTGTTTTTGCAGCTATTTAGCCTTTTTTAAAAATATCTTAGCTTCTTCAGGTAATTCCAAAATTTTCAGTTAATTTCAGCTCTCTACTTCCTTCTGATTGTTTAAGCTTCTTTCTGATTTTCAGATACTTTTCAGCCAATTTTTGCTAATTTCAGCTGGGTTTTTTTTTGGTGGGGAGGGTTGTTGCTAATTTCCTAATTTTTGTGCTAATTTCTGCTTATTTAAACCTAATTCAATAAATGTGTGTTCTTTCAGCTTTCTTCTGCGAAGTTAGGCTTGTTCTTCCATTTAAGCTACATTTCAGCATGTATTTTAGCTAATTTCAGCTCTTTTTCAGCAAGTTCTTCTGCAATAAGCATTCACTCTGCATTTTCACAGGAAATGCCATTTCTCTGGTTTTAACTAGTACATACCCATTTTGAAAATATAACTACCTATTGTCTTGATTTTTCTATATTTTCCAACAAAATATTTGAAATGTTTTCCGTTTGACATTTTATACAAATATGTGATATCTAAATAAAAAAGTTCATTTAAATGTTTGCTTTTTAAACCATATATTAAACATTTCTGAAATTATATTTGTGGTAAGAAGTTTATATTCACTCATAAAAACGGAATAATTTTATGATTTCAATCATTTGCACAATTTTCCAGGGTGGATTGATTACACAATGTTCATCCCGCTAATATTTGGTCAAACGTCTTTTTGCAAGTTGCTCCTCAGCCTCAGGCTTTTTTGTCTCCATCTTCAAGTTTCAGGATATTTCATCACTCTTTGTTTTAGCAGAAAAGGTCAAGTGTATTTATAACCAACCAATTTAAACCAACCATTTAAATTGGTTGGTTTCTTGAACAGGCCTGTGTTTTAAGCCTAATTCATATATTTTCAATAAGGATTGAGAGAAGGTTGTTCCAGAGCCTGGTTGAGCTTGTTGGACCCAACAGTGTCCAGGTATCAACCATCTAGTTGTTATTTTGAGGTGAAAAAATGGAATGTTGTTGTGCTTAACACTCTGTGCACCAGTAACAGCTCATGATGCTACCACCACCATGCTTGACAGTTCACACAGACTTCCTTGGGTTGAAAGCCTCGCTTTGACTCCATAACTATAAAGCATTTCTCTGGATGGACACCAGAGTCCACAGGTGGTTATCCAGCAGGTTCAAGTTCATGGCAGGCTCGAGTCTCAGTGATTCCTGAACACCCTAATGAATTAATTTCACCTAACAGTGACAGTTTTGGTCTTCTTTCAGATCTTGGCAGGTGGTAAGTCATCCAAACAGCCTGCTTGTACATACAGTTGCTTGAACAGGTGATCTCAGAATCTGAAGTCGCTTTAAAATTGTCAGGGGAATTTTGGTCAAGGTTTATGGATGTTTTGAAACTACTCTGGCTGAGAATGTTAACTGCCCATGAACCGTGTGTTTGAGTTAGCAGACCGAGCTGAACGAGGAGCTGATTTGATACCACATGAGCAGCTGGCAACTCCAAGGTCACCTCAGAGTCTGTAAGCTGGGAAGCCGAGGTCGTCGTGACCTTTAGTAGCTGATAAGCGTGTATAAAAAATTTAAAAAAACTTGTGCACTGTCCGCTGCAGATCCTCGTGACTGGGTTTCAAACATGTAACTTTGAACATCGGTGTAAGCCTGTTGTGAGCTCTGCCCTTGCAAGTAAAAATGGGTTCAAAAATCTTCTCCCGTCGTCGACTGTGGATTATTTGAGTAAGTAGATAATGAAAGGGTATTTTTATCCAACAAAAATGACTTCCCCAACATGTGTAAATCGACAGTTTTGATTTTCAGATCCTTTTCAGAGTTCTTTGGACTTATCCAAAATACCAAGTACAGTAGTCACTCGCTACTTCGCGGTTCGTTTTTCGCAGACTCGCTCTGTAGCGGTTTTTCAAAGTAAGATTGGACATGACGCACAATTGGCTGATTGATGGACGAGCTGCACGATCTGCATGGAATTTTTTATTTAAAATAAATTATTTTATATTATTCAGCACCTCCTGCACCTGTGTGCAGCCCACACTGCAGGAGAAGCTTCCTCCTGTAGCATGTCATATCTCCGCTTTGCAGCGGAGAGGTGAAGTGGGCGTGGCCGAGAGCTCTGGCAGATGGCAGAGAGCAGCCGGAGGTAGACACTTTTTACAAAGCTTCAGGGTACGGATCCCCCGTGATAAATGAGGGACTACTGTATTGGTTAATTTGATAAACGCTGTCAAGCAAATCCTCTTCGAGCTGGCAAGAAAAAAAAACTACAAGCTGTGATTGATCATGAACATTAATGAGAAATCAATAGGACTTATAAAGTTAAAGACCTTCTATAACCTCCAGAACCACATTAATATATTTGGGTAATGTCTAGAGCCCGACCGATATGTCGGTAGGATCGATATCTTAGGTCGATAGACGTTTGGGAACCTATTGGCATTGGTGATAGTTGTCCCATTACGCGCCGATATAAACACTTCTAATTTTCACTTCTAAAATACTGGAAACCAGTTGTAATTGTACAATGTATCCAGCAGAGTGAGCGTGAAGATTACATTCAAGTGGTGGCCGTTCACTTTAAGTTTCACTTTCGTCGCAGCCGAAGCAGGGAACAATTCAGTGCAGTGTATTTTGATGAACAGAAAAGGGTAAGTTTATTTTAACTTATCTGTAAAATAAAAAAATAAAAAATTCTCTTCAATCCTCCAATTTGCTTGTCGTTAGCTACGTGCGTTTTAAGTTGGCCAGCTAACTTTTAGATAACCTAGCATAGGCTACTGCCTTGTAAAATTTTATCCAGAACAATAAATCTAACGTAGAGGTAAAATATATCAGTGTTGGTAACATGATCTTTGTTGTCCTCAATGAAATGCATTGTTTGTCTGAAATCTATACCATCTATAAACCTATGGTCAATACATGAATGACTGTTGAAAGAGTGAACAGGGGAGGGCGTTTCTTTGTTTAATGTATAATTATGTAACATTTGATAACTTTATGGAGAATAGTGAAGGATAGAAAATGTGATACTTTGAAATTTATTTAAAAGAAAAGTTGCATCAACTATTCTTAATGAACAGCTGTGATATAAAATACAAATTCATTGTTAAAAATGTTTAAAATAACTTTCTGTAAGGACTTTCCTGTTTAGAGTTATCTATCTGTGATCGACTTGTCGAGTTCTGATGGTCTGTGATAGATTAGTCATGGCTGCGGGGCTTGAAGGAGGGGAAGCTCTGACGTCGCTTCATTCCCGCTGCACCTGCCTGAATGAAAGCAACGTGTCAAGAGTATCTTTCACTCTTATTTCCTCTTTCAGGTAATTAAATAAATTTTGTGTTTAAAACATTTATTAAACATTTTCTGTTGCATTTTTGAGTATTTCATCTAAAGGTCGAGTGGTTTTCATTAAGTAGTTGATGTTTAGGAATGTGATTTAAAATGTCGTTTTATGCTAATTAGCATCGCTCAGTCTACCGTCGATGTCCCACCACGAGGCAGACGTTAGCGCACGACGTGTGTGCGTGTGTAGACTATTCATCTAAGTGAATTATACATTCAGACTGAAAATAAGACTATTTTGATTACATTTATGTTTAAATTCATTATCTTTGTTTTGGCAAAAGGACAGATGAACATTTAAATTTTTTATTTTCATTTAAACAAGAATATGAGAACAGGTATGTGTAAAAGATGTGAAGTAATCTGTTTTTTTTTTTATTATTTAACTGCTATATTGGATTTGGTTTAAAGACGAAACTTGTTCTTTCTAGATATGTAAATACTTTAAAAAAAGTGTAAATAAATTCCCACTGCACCTGCCTGAAAGAAAGGAACGTGTCAAGAGTATCTTTCACTCTTATTCTCCTCTTTCAGGCTGCTACAAAAGCACGTTAGGAAGACTGTATGACCAGTGTACCACTTGTAAACCTATTGTGGCTCTAGGTATAGCATGGAAGTGGAGCTGATTAGCTTAGCTTTATGGTTGCTAACAGCTGCGCTAAGTAAACAAGGCTCGCTCCACTCGCCGTTTACCAAGATTCCTGGGGGTGGACAAAGCTAAAAAAAAATGTCAGCCATTATATCGGTATCGGTGATAGCCAAAACTTCCATATCGGTCAGGCTCTAGTAGTGTCAATTACAGTAGATGTGAAGTATTAAGATATTTTCGCTTGTATTAATAATTTTAGAGAAAATCCACGATAAATTAAAACTTGTTCACCTCGTTCACTATCAAATCATTATTATTATTTTTTTTAAATCAGTCAAATTGTATGTTGGATAATCACTCCACCCCGGAAAAAGAATGCTTCAAATAAATAAATAAAAGCTACAAATTGATATATTCATGCCCAAGATAACTTAAAGTATATTTTGGAACACAACTGTTACTAAGTGACAAGTTTACTGTGGAATTTGAACAATCTCGGATCGCCACGTGGATAAAACTCATACTTGAGGCATCGTCATCGTTGGCAGATTTCTTCTTCTCCTCTACGTAGCCATGACTGAGCAGCTTGGACATGCTGACTGGAGGAGCCTTCTTTTCGTAGGATCTGAGGAGGTGACAAACCTCATGTAACTGAACATCGTTAATAAATCAAGTATACTTTGATTTGCAGCAACAAGATAAACGGGAGACAAAAAGCCGGCAGGTTCTTACATTCTCTTGTACTTATTGGTTAACGGCAAACCCTCCATGTGTTGGGCAGCATCATCTGGAGACATCTGTAGGAAAGAAACGTCATCCGAGTGCAGCAACATTATAAACGGTGTTTGCTAAAAAAAACATCGTTATGAAAATATCAGGGACGCAGAACGAAACAATGGAAGGCTGGGACAACTTCATCAAAAATAGTCATGCGATGACAATGAAGGGTAACAAACCAGATTGGACCAAAAGATGAAAATAACTTTCTAAATCGTGTTTATTCACAAAACTTTGAAAATATAAACCTAATCAATAAATAACAGTTTAAAGCTTGCCTGAGAACAGCAAGTTTTTTTTAAATCGTGTATCATTATTATGCCTTACAGTTGATTTTTACCGTATTCTTCGGACTATAAGGCACACTTAAAATCCTGTAATTTTCTCAAAAATCAACAGCGAGTCTTTTAATCTGGTGCACCGTATGTATGAAAACCGATCTGTTCATTGATACTGAGCCTTATAATCTGCTGCTCCTTATAGTCTGAAAAATACGGTATTTTTAATTTAAATATATTTACAGTAGTCCTTTGTTACTTTGCGGTTCAACTTTCGTGAACTAGCTCTTCTGCAGTTTTTCAAAGTAAGATTGTACACGACACACGACTGTCAACTTTAATATTACTCACGTGATTGGGACAGTACGGAATACAGTACAGTAAAAAGTTAAAAATGAAATACTTCGGACAGGCGCCACCATTTTGTAGTTTTCTCTCAATAAGCCTACACTGTATTTCCCACTCATAAGGACTACATTTCCCAGAAGTCCTGTTTCCTTCTGCTGAAATACATAGAGGGAAAGTTTTTCTGATCCGAAAAAGTTTGTCCCTTATTAATTCAGCGACTGTGGCACCCAGCGGATGCAGAGAGCTGCACAGAACTCACTGGGAACCAGACCAGAACCAGAGCTCCAGAATCACTGGTGAATCTGAGTGCCGCCCACCGGCCCACAGGGCCTTTCAATTGGGGAGGCACCACCCGTAGGTCCGGTGTTCTCTCCGAAGCCCATCGAGACTTCCCCCATCCAGATTTGGACTCAATCGGATGCTGGCCAACCAAAGGTCCAGCTCCCTCCAAAATTGTTTTGGTGCTCAAGGGCTGCGAAGAACCGACCAGAACCGGGAGGGTAGGTCTGCTGGACTGGAACAGAGCTGCTGTTTCTGCAAAGCTGGTGAGTAAAATTTAGTAGCTACATATACGTATGTTGTTAAAATGATGTAGGTTTAAGAGTTTAGAACATTTCAAGAGTGTGGGAAGAGTTTATAAAATCATAAATATATAAATACTAAAATAAATATGTTGCTACTTCGCAAATTTTTACTTATTGCGTGGAGATCTGGAATGTCAACCCTGTGATAAATGAGGGACTACTGCATAAATAATGACACTTACCTCATTTTCCCCCCAGTATTTTCTAAAATGTTTCACTTATAACTGCTGTGGAAAGTTAAACTTCTAACTAGGAATGTGCGATATATACGGTACACGGTAGAAATGATAGACATTTAGCCTATGATATTTATATTCTACCGGTTAACCACAGTAATGCCGTGTCTGATATAAAATCAAGAGTTATCAGATTTAATAGTTACTTTTGAGTTGAAAACTGTGTGTAAGTGGTGTTAAAGTCTTTTCTTCAAGAGCTAAGTAGCAAAGCTACTAGCCAACTACAGCCGGTTTACCGTAGTGTCGCCGTATTCGGACGCATGCGCAAAACGCTGTGTTCCGTCGAAAGTTAAAGTCAGCTAGCCGATGTAGCTAAATATGGTCAGTTAGGTCAGCTTTTGAGAAACCTGCTCTCTGATCTGTGAAAAAAAAAAACACTTGTGTGATTTTACTGCGAGACCCTCTCTGGTCAAAGCCACAGAGGAAACTGGTCGCCATTTTGTGTCATCTCTCCTTAAAGCTGAAGGAGACGCCCGCTAGAGGGTTGGAGGGTGAAGTGTTTTCAGTGTAAAACGCTGCTCTGTTGCTGTTCATTTATTGAGTGAGAATACTGGAAACTTAAGAGTTAACATATTCTTTTATTTAAAACATATGGCTAAAACTACATTTGATATATTTTGCACTGTTTTGCACAACAAGAAAGAAGCCTAATACTTGATTGTTTATTATTTTAAAACTCTGGACCTAGTTAGTGGAATTTTCTTAATGGAGATTATTTTGTGGTATAGCAGTTTTCAAAATCAATGATGGCAAAAGGACAGTCTACACTATTTTTTCCATTCCTATTGCAAGTTTTATACTAAAAAACATATTGTGATATATATCGTTATCGCCACCCTTCACAATACATATCGTGATGTGAATTTTATGCCATATCGCACATCCCTACTTCTAACCAAAATGCAACAGAGGAGAAAATGGGAACCAAAAGGGGGAAATGACGGTAAAAACTTAACGATAACAACAAAAGATGGGATGACGTCGGCATGATGGGAACATTAAGGGATGACTAGTTTGGTCCGTTCACCTTCTCTTTATCCGGGGAAAACCTATCAGCCTCTCTTTCCCAGGGCGAACCGTTATCAGTGCCAAAGGGAGCAGCCAGAGGCTGCCTGCCTGCCTTCATCTGGCTGTTTGGAGAGGTTGCTTTACTTCCACTAGAAGCACAAAACCACAGTGATATGCCATGTGATGGTACTGCAGCTCCAAGGGTTCAGTAAACTCCGCCACTTACTCTCCGTACGTGGAAAACAGAGATTCAAAGTGCCTGAAGGTTTCACCTGAACACATTTGTCTTCTCGTCTTGGTTTCTCACCTCTTTGAGTCATCGCCTCCAAACAAGTTGGGTGGGACGTACGGTTTCTTCAGGCTGTCATCAACGTCCACGTCATGACTCAGCAGCCCTGCAGAGGAACGCTCCAAATGAGACCAGCAGGCCATTATGACGCACTTTGAAAGCACAATATGGTGTTCAACTTCCTCCACAATCAGCTCGGAGGCTGAACAATCCACCCACTTTGAGTCAGATTTTTTTTTTTTTTATAATTTTTTTTAATGACAAATGGTTTCTAACTCCAGAATAATCTCCTGCACAACACCTGCTCTCACAGCAGTGATTGGGGAAAAACGAGTCCGCATCTTTTCCCACGCAGGAAACGAAGCAAACAAGTGAGCAGCTGCTGTTTGCAGCGAAACGCAGGCAGATATTGTTCAAAGTTTGAATCAAAGATTTTGTTCAACTTTTAGCTCTCGGAGTACGTGTTAGGAATGACTCTCAGCTGCTGTCACGCCAAGTTTCAGCTCAATATCCGTAAAAGAAATGTGTGCTTGCTGTGGATGTTTAGCTGCTGCAGCCATCTTGAATCAAGTTGACCCTAAAAATGTATCATGAGAAATACTCAGAGTTATTGTACATTAATGAGTCCACTGGTTTATAAGATATTTTACCAACAGGCAGACAAACACATTTACATAACTGTGTGTCTTTCATAGGCAATGAAGAGAGTAGACAAAAAACAAACAAGCTGCTCAAATAAGCACTGATGGCTCACAGCAAGAAGGTTCTGGGTTCAATCCCCGGTTTAGATCTGGGGTATTTCTGTGTTGTGTTCAGATGTTTAAATAAAGTTGATAATAAATACATCCATCCAAAAAAAGTAATCTTATTACAACCTGGGTTTTATTTTACAACTGAACTTGGAGACGGTATGAAATCATTTGGGGATAATGATGAGTTTCATTCAAATATGCACAGAGTGCAACCCTAAGCTGAAGAGTTCTCCACATGCTGACAGCATAAAACATCAATACCAACCATCGTGATGAACCTTTGATGCAAAAAAAAAAGTGTTTTAAAGGTTGAACAATTAAACTGCAGAGTGCCAAAAAAAAAAAGCAGAAACAAAACATCGTTATAACTAGAGAAATTGCATTTCCTGCGAAAATGCAGTGTGAATGCTTGTTGCAGTAGAACTTGTTGAAAAACAGCTTAAATTAGCTAAAAACATAGTAGAATGTGTCTGAAATGGAAGAGCAAGCCTAAATCAGCAGAAGAAAACAGAAAGAACACATATTTGTTGAATTAGTTCTAAATAAGCAGAAATTAGGGAAAAAAAAGGTAAATCAACTTTTAAAAAGTCTGAAATTAGCAAAATATAGCTCAAAAGTAGCTGAAAATGCAACAAGAAGCTTAAACAACCAGAAGGAAGTAGAAAGAGCAGAAATAAGCTAAAAAATATATGGAATTAGCTGAAAAAGCTCAAATTAGCACAAAAACAGCTAAATAGTAGCCGAGAGAGCAGAAAAAGCTGATACTATCAGAAAAACGCTGAGAGGTGCATAACAAGCTGAAATTAGCATAAATAAGTGAATAAGGCTGAAAGTAGCAGAAATTACCACGCAAAACTTGCATTTATCTGAAAACAGCTAAAATTAGCTAGAACAGTTAGTAGAACAAGCTTAAATTAGCAGAAGAAAGCAGAGAGAACATGTTTGCCCAATTAGGCTGAAAGAAACAAATGAGCACAAAAAAGTGGAAATTATCTGAAAAAAGCTGAAATTAGCAAAAATCAGCTGAAAGGTAGCTAAAACAGCAGCAAGAAGCTTAAATTTCAAGAAGGAAGTGGAGAGCAGATTTTTGCTGAATTAGGGTGAAAAAAGTTTAAATGAGTGCGAAAAACGTGGAATTAGGGGAAAAAGTTTAAATTGGCAAAATATAGCTCAAAAGTAGCTGAAAATGCAACAAGAAGCTTAAACAACCAGAAGGAAGTAGAAAGAGCAGAAATAAGCTAAAAAATATGGAATTAGCTGAAAAAGTTTAAATTAGCATAAATAGCTAAATAGTAGCTGAAATTGTAGAAAATGCTGAAACTTGCAGAAATAAGCTGAAAGGAGTAGAACAAGCCGATATTAGCTGAAAGAAGTTAGAAGAAGCACAAAAATGTTGTAGTTAGAAAGAATCTGAAAGGAGCACAAAACAGCTGAAAGCAGAAGAAAGTAGCTGAAAAAAATATTAAATTTGCACAAGGAAGCTGAAAGAACATGTGAAAGGAGCAGTAAAAATTTGTAAACAGATCTAAAGATTTGAAGGAAGAAAAATGAGCTCAATTCATTTTCTGAGAAAAAAAGTGGCAGAAAAGGCTAAATATTTCAAAAAGCTAAAGATGCACTAATACCAAAAGTCACAGCCGGACTGTGCTGAAAGAGCTGAACATTTTGGTGTATGATTTGTTGAAATAGTTTGAAAACTGCGAGACGAGAAACGCGCCAAAAAAACGTACAGAAGAAAAATGGATGACAATAGTGTGAATGCTTCATAAACGTTCACACTATTAACAAAAGAATAACAATCTGCAGGAAGACGTGATGAGTTTACATTTCATCTCCCTGATGATGAAGCTGACCGCTCACCTTTGTGTCCCCCTTGCTTAGCGAGCTTCACGTAGTCAGAGTCGCTCTCGAAGATCCCCACGCGTCGCCCGCTGATCCTCTCCACATGCGTGCTGCTTTCACTGGCGCTCTGACACAGCCCGGGGATCTGGGAAGTGGGTCCGGTCACGCCGCTGTTAGCAGCCCCTGGTTTTATGCCTGAACAGAATCGAACATTAAATCTGCTTCACTACAAGACTCAACGTAGTGGTTCCCAGACACACAGTCAATTGTGAAACACATGCATTATAAAATATTTTAGTTTACAAGTTTTTGTTGAACAAGCTTTAGTTGAATATGTGTAAAACTGACTCAGTTATAGACAATTTGTGATGACTAAGGTTGATTAGCTGTGGCAGCCATCTTTAACTGGGTCAACTCCAAAAGCTCATCAGCTTTAGGCGAGCATCCATGGATTAATTTCTGATCAATGGTTCATTAGATATATCAATAACATATAAAAGCTCACACACAAGCAAAAGCATCATTGCCTGCTGCCATAAAGGCATATGCCAACTGAAGGTGAAACGAGTCTTACCACCAGGCTTGGTCCTTCGATGGTTGGGTACAACAGCGCTCATTTTAGTCCAACACAAAAGCTGTTGAGAGAAGAGAAACAAGTCTAAAGACCCAAACTCTTCACTTCAACAGTATTTTTTTTTTCATTCAGTGGGACTTTGCTTCCAAAATATGCCGTTAAACATGAGGCTTCTTCAAAAAACACAATCACAAGGTTATATTCAAGTTTCTCCCTTAGTCATTTCCAGTTGCATCATTTCTGTATAGTTTTTTTTTTTTTATCAACTCCCATCATCTAAATATTCTTCTTTTTTTAGCTTTTCCCTCTTCAGGGGTCATCCTCCACCATCTCACTCTGTCCTCACTCCAACTACCTCTATGTCCTACTAACTGCATCTATATATATCTCCTCTTTGTTTCTAACATCTTTCTACCAGTATACCCACTGTCCCTCCTCTGGACATGTTCAAACCATCTCAGTCTGGCCTCTCTACCTTTATCTACCAGTTGTTCAACCTGTGCTGTACCTCTGATGATCTCATTCCTACTCTTACCCATCCTTGTCACTCCTAAGGAGAACCTCAACATGTTTATTTCTGACACTTCCAGTTCTTTCTCCTGCCTTTTGTCCATGTCTCTGTCTCCAGACCATACAACATAGCTGGTGTCACCACTGTCTTGTAAACTTTTCCTTTGACCTTTGCCAAAACCCTTTTGTCGCAAATCACTCCTGAAACTTTTCTTCATCCACTCCATCCTGCCTGGACTCTCTTCTTCACCTCTTTACCACACTCCCCATTTTCCTGGACAGTAGACCCCAAGTACTTGAAGTCCTGCATCTTTGTGACCTCTGCTCCTTGTAGCCTCACTGTTCCACCGGCCTCCCTCTCATTCACACACATGTACTACAGCTGACTTTCATTCCTCTTCTTTCAAGTGCATACCTCCACCTCTCCAAGTTCTCTTCCACCTGTTCCCTGTTCTCACCACAGATAACAATGTCATCATCAACATCATAGTCTACGGGGAATCCTGCCTTACCTCATCTGTTAGTCGGTCCATCACCAGAGCAAACAAGAAGGGGCTCAGAGCCAATCCTTGATGCACTCCCACCTCCACCTTGAAGCTTTCTGTCACTCCTACAACACATCTCACCACTGTCCTGCTGTCCTCATACATGTCCTGTGCCAGTCTAACATACTTCTCTGCCACTCCAGATTTCCTCATGCAATACCACACCTCCTCCCTCGGCACTCTGTCATATGCTTTTACGAAATCAACAAAGACACAATGGAGTTCTTTCTGACCCTCTCTGTACTTCTCCATCAGCATTCTCAAAGCAAAGATGACATCTGTGGTGCTCTTTATTGGCATGAAACCATCCTGCTGCTCACTGATAGTCACCTTTCATCTAAGTCTTGCTTCCACAATTCTCTCCCAGATCTTCATCTTGTGACTCATCAATTTAATTCCCCTGTAGTTGCTACAACTCTGTACATCAACCTTGTTCTTAAAAATGGGCACCAGCACACTTCTTCTCCATTCCTCAGGCATTTTCTCACCCTCAAATATGCCATTGAATATTTGAGCCAAAAACCTCACTGCCATCTCTCCAAGACATTTCCAAATCTCCACCGGTATGTCATCAGGTCCTACTGCCTGCCCCTTCTTCATTCTTTTCAGAGCTTTCCAGACTTCACTGTCACTAATCTTTCCCACTTTCTGGTCCACAGTTTCTATGACCTCTAGTTTTCTTTCTCTTTCATTATCTTCATTCATTAGCCCTTCCATCTTCCCGTCACTCTCCACACTTGTTAGAACATTACCATTCCTATCTTTAACAAGCCTAACTTGCTGTGCATCCTTTCCAGCCTGATCCCTCTGTCTCGCCAATCAGTACAAGTCCTTCTCACCCTCTTTAGTGTCCACCCTCTCATACAACTCATCATACGCCTTTGCCTTAGCCACCTCCCTCTTTGTTATTTATTGCATTTCCTTATATTCCCGTGTCCTCTCTTCAGTCCTCTCACTGTCATGTTTCTTCTTGGCTAACCTCTTTCTTTGAATAGCTTCCTGCACGTCACTATTCCACCACCAGATTTCCTTGTCATCCATTCTCTGTCCAGGTGACCTATCAAATACCTTCCTACCTATCTCTAATTACTGTTGCTGTAGTAGCGCTGTCATCTGGAATCTCTTTCTTACCACCCGGAGCCTTTAACAGTTCCTCTCTGAATTTCTCACAACATTCTTCTTTCTTCAACTTCCAACATTTGGTCTTCTTTGCTTTGATGAACTTGCATTATAGGTTTGGCAAAACTATGTTTGATGTCGGGTGCCCTTCCTGACACAACCCTCACCATTTACCCAGGCTTGGGACTGGCACAGGAGATCCACTGGCTTGTGCTACCAGACTAGGGATCCCATCATCTAAATCTAAATCAAAAATGGCAGAAAAACCCAGCAAAAGAAAGAAAGAAAGAAAAAGTTTCAGGGGAACACAGACAACAAGGTTTAGATTGTTAGGGTATAACACTGGTCAAAATCTAGCTTTTAAATTATGCCCCATTCAAAGCTATGGGTCTGTTAAGTCATCCGTATCAAAATATAGTAAAAGGTGATCTCTCATATTATAGACATATTAAAGTTCAATGTGGCTGCAGGTTTATTTTTTAGGTTTGCACAATAAAAACTAATGTTTGTGTGGAAATTTGTCGTGGAAAAAAAAAACATGACTAACAATATATTTATTACGGTTATTTTAGTTTGTTTGCACATTTATTTAAAAAAAAAAAAAAAAAAGAGATAAACACAGCCATTCATACCGCCGGATATTAAAGTCAACCATTCTGAATGTTGCATATGTAACATCTGATTCTTATGATTAATTAACAAGCTGTATAATTACGATATCGTTAGAAAGTATGATTTAACGACTTCCTGAAGGAATTACGTAATTATTTAAATCAGGTGTGTTAGAACAGGGAAACGTCTTGAACATGAATAACAGTGTGGGCCCTAAATTAAAGACAAGTGATTTTGAGATAATACATTTGAAAACTTGCTCTACACATGTATGCGGTGACAGTAATCAATGGGAAGAGATAGGCCTGAAGGGTTTTAATACACGAGCTAAAACTCTACTTGTCTTCAGAGAAAACGCTTCATTGTCATCTCTCTGTAGTAAAAAGTGTGCCGAAGTCCTTGCACATCATTTTAAAGCATTAATAAACAATTTGCATTTATATCAAAACAACAGGAAAAGCGAAACACGAAAAAATATCTAAAATTGGCATTTTTTTCAACAGAGTTTGGCGAGCATAACCAAACACGGTCACACCGGGTTAGCTAACGTCTATTAAAGTAAACCGATTTTTCATTCAGCAAAAGTTAGATTTGGCTCCAAATATTTTGTAGAATTTGCAGATTAGCACTATAAAGGCAACGTTTTATTGCGGATTACAATGAACAGATGAAGCTAACAAAAGCCTTGCGTTGTTAGCCGCCTAGCTATTTTTTTTCTTTTGCGCTCCAACAAAGTTATTTTTTTATGAAAGCGGATGAAAATGCCACATTAATGGGATTTTAAAGAAAAAACATTTTTTTACATTACCTTGTAAATATAACTTCTTGTAATAAATGAGGAATGTTGCAAATGAAAACCGTTCTCTTCTTTTTACTCTGCAAGGATGACGGCTTCCTGCGGCACCTGCTGCTGACTTCCGGTGCACAAAATCCAAGATCGAATGATGCCACGAGGCCTCACTCTGTCTAGTTTTTATTTTCTGCACATAATTTCACAGTGGCCAGAAAGAGTGAGACTTGTTTTTTTCTCTTCTTCTTCTTCTTTATTGAATATTGAAAACCTAACTAAAAAAAATTAACGACTTATTCACAACAAAAGAGGCATACAAATTTAAATTTCTTTTTTCTTTTTTTAACAAATCAAAACAAAATAGCAACCGAAAGGACAGTCAAAAGGAAAAATAGTGAAGGAAAAAAAACCTGAATAGATTATAAGGTGGTATAGAAAACTAAAAACAGGAACATGTCTGCATTGTTTTTTTGCCAGGAACTTAGCAGATGTTTGAAGCCACTTAGAGAGGTCAAGGTCGAGAGAAACTTCCATGTAATAATGTTCTGGGCACGCTGTAGCTGCACTCACGCAGTAACATGTAGGAGGAGATGTATGACGGCAACAGACAAAGAAGTGATTTAAAGATGAAAATGTACGAGTGAGAGAGTCTGTGTGAAGTTAAAGATGTCCAGTTAACCAGTGAATACAGGGTGCAGTGGTGGGTACGATAGTTACAGCCAGTTATGAATCTTAGTGCACCATGATAGACAGCATCCAACATCTGCAGGGTGCTTGTAGGAGCATTCATGTAAATAATGTCACCGTAGTCAATGGAGGGAAGGAAGGTCGCAGTTACAAGGCATTTCCTAGCATTCAGAGTTAAACAGGACCTATTTCTGAAAAAAAATTTAAAAAAAAGTTAACTCAGTTTCCTTACTAGGTTTTCCACCTGCTGCTTAAAAGAGAGATGCGAGTCGACCAAGATACCCAAATATGTATAGGAATCGACAAACCCTATAGGGCCACCATTTGAAGCTAAAATCAGAGGAAGAACTGCTGAGACTGACTTCCTGTTTGAAAAAAAAGCAACCCTTTGGTTTTATCAGCATTTAGGATATGTTTGAGATGGAGCAAGTCTGACTGAATGGTGTCATGCGGATTGCAAAAGCTGGAAAGCCTTAGCAACTGTTTTAGCTCGACAATAAACAACTGTGTCATCAGCATAGAAATGTAAGGATGCATCAGGGATGTTCTGACCTACATTACCTATGTAGATTGTAAAGAGGGTGGGTCCTAAGACTGAGCCTTGTAGTACACCATTGCTGACTGTCTATTGTTGTTGTTGTTTTTATTCACTGTTGTCATCAATCTTTGTTAAGAAATCAGGTCTCTCTTGTAAATGAGTCCCCGAGGCTCAATGGGATTAACCTGTCTTAATAAAAGGTTGAATGTATAACAAACACATCTCCTATTGCATTCAAATAATTTGGGTAACAGAGGTTCAAACAAAGTATGAAATAAAATTAATTAATTAATTAAAATAGAAAAAAAATAAAACAAACAAAAATATGTTTGGAGGTTACTATATGAAACTCTTCCATTAACTCGTACAATTCTGCTGCGTTTGTGTTATTAATCTTACTCAGACATGTTTTGAACAAGGATAGTTCATTTTTGAAAGCAGGGAATGAGAGGGGGCATTTTGCAAATCCACATTTATGAATGTAGTTTTTTATTACTATACTTAATTTAAATTCCACTTTTTTTCTGTGACAAATAAACCAAACTGAATATTCTGAAGTGAAAAGAACTCCACATTAATGGCTTTGGAGGACAGGAAGTTATGAAGGAGTTTCCATAAATTCTGAACTTCTCACTCATGAAACAAGTGTTCGGTTGTTTCCGGCTGAGTTCTACAAAAAACATGGTTCTCAACAACAAACTTAAATCTCACTCTTATGAACTCATTTGAAGGATATATGTTATTTATTATTTTAAAATGTAGTTCTTTATATTTAGGAGGAATTGGGAATTTTAAATACTTTGGCCTAATTTATATATTGTAGACTTGTCAAAGTTTTGTAAGGCGAGAGTGCTTTTGCTTGTTCTTGGGTACATGCTATTTATTGACTATTGGTTCAAAAACCTGCTGCTACATTTTTTTGTCTACAATATATAAACAATCATTTTGATTTTACGTAATCTTGGTAGTGTGATATTAAATTGTTTTTCACTGACTGAATGAGGACATTAGGAATGTTGCATATTCATGTTCTTGTAATTTGTTATTGAACAGTCAGTTCCATACTTATTATTAAATTTATCCAAATTGAGGATGTTACCACTTCCATCCAGTAAATGAGTAATTGACCAGATTAGTTTATTCCACTCTTCTTTCATAAATACAGATTTTCTGCTGCTTAATATGGCGCTGTTGTTTCACAGTGGAACATTAGGAGTGCTGACGTTGTGTTTAAACATCATCTTCCACTGTAACTAAACCTGTTGATGGAAAGTAGAGAGTTGAAGAGGTAGTTTAATTCAAAGTCACATTTCAATAACAACTCAACGCCTCCAATTTTTTTTTTTTAAATACAAATGTCTGTACTCATTGTTGTATAAAGTATTTCAAAGTGATACTTCAGTGAAAGTACAAGTATCTTACCATAAAATTACTTTGGTAAAAAGTTCCTTTAAAATTATTACTTGAGCAAAAGTCTTAATGTATCTGACATTTAATGTACTTAAGTACCAAAAGTAAATTTCTCATATAAAATGTACTTAAAGTAAGAGTATTAAGTAAAAGTGAACAGTTAGAATTTCCAAAACAACATTTATTGGGTGCAATATCCAATGACAAAAACTTGGAAAGTTTGAACTGAACAATGAAAGATTACTCTTTAAAAAGTCTGATTCTAATGAAGTATATTCATTCAACCTTTATTAACAAAGCTGTTAGAAAGCTCACATTGTTGTGTAGTTGGCTTGTTTACATAGCTAGGTTCTGTCCGGTTATGGCTTGTTTCTTTATGAATATAATAGTTCCTATGCTCTTGAATGCACTGTGGCTTTTCCAACGCTAGTGAACGCACCGCTCTGCAAAGTGCAGAACTCAGTTGGAGGTTTTTTTTCTCTCTCTTGACACGGACGGCGCCTTGTTGTTCAAGCTTGTTTGTGCTTTACTGGTTTACTACTGTGTGAAAATACTAGAAGAAATACAGCAAATACAACACCCTAAACTGGATATCTGTCTCCATGTTCTTTAATGGGAAGACTAGTGGCCCGACAACTTCATACCTTGCTGCTCTAACCAGTAAATGTCCTGGAGAACACCAAACATCTCCTTTTTAGCAGCTACCATAATTTTCACACCTATCAGGAATTTACCTTGGCTCCACTGGGAGTCAAAAAAGACCTATTGTAACGATTGATTGTTGGTTGTTCACAGTGGGAACTGCAGTTTTCACACAAGCGGCGGGAAAGGGGCTGGGTTTGTGATTAAGAGTCAGGGAGAGAGAAGGGGCCGCGTGAAGTCACAGACTGGGAGAACAAACAGGCATTGCCCAATCAGATTTCTTCTAATTTTATATTGTAAGAACGCGTAACTAAGATGGTTAAAGAAAATGTATTAAGAGTAAAAGTACACATTTTATTAAGGAAATGCAGTGGAGTAGTGGAGTGTGGAGTGGAGGCGAGCTGGTCTGGGAAGCTCAGTCCTCACCTCCTTCTACAGGTGTGCAGTGGAGAGCATCCTGTGCTCGAGCATCAATGTGTGGCATGGAGGCTGCACAGCTGCAGAAAGAAAAGCTTTGCAGAGAGTGGTGAAGGCTGCACAGAAATCTGTTGGAGTCAGTCTCCCCACCATCACAGACATCTACACCTCCAGATGCAGGAAGAGGGCCACCTGCATCATGAAGGACCCCACCCACCCAGCACACACACTTTTTGCCCCACTCCCCTCAGGAAGGAGGTTAAGGAGCATTAAGTGTAGAACCACTAGACTGAGGAACAGCTTCTACCCTGAGGCTGTTAGACTCATGAATCTCTAACTAGAATAATCACTGTGAAAAACCATATCATGTTGCTGCTGATCTGTTTCATGTTGCTGCTGATCTGTTTCAATGCTGATGTGTTCATGCGTGCACATCTGCTCACAGACTCATGTTCATGTTTGTGGTGATGTTCAATGTTTTATGTTATGAGTGCTTAGTGTATATTTAGTTGATGTTTTTCTTAGTTCATATCTTAGATGTTATTACTGTTTTTCTTATACATTTTATTGTTGGATGTAACTGGGACCCTGCGTACATAATTTCGCTCCACCACATGTACCACATGAGGTGCGAATGACAATAAAGAAACTCTGACTCTGACTCTGAGTAAAAGTGAAAGTCACTAGAAATGTAAATAACCAAGTAAAGTAAAGATACGTCAAAATTCTACTTAAGTACAGTAACAAAGTATTTCTACTTTGTTACATTATAACACTGTCGGTACTACATACCATATGAGATCGCCATTTTTTAAAGGGACTGGAGCCATCTAATTTTTAAAGTTCCATTCATAATTTCAAAATCGATTGCCTTGATACCACCTTCCTCATAATTTTTCAGCAAATCTCCTTTTCTGATGTAATGGTGTTTGTTTTTTCCAAATAAAGTAAAATTTTATTCTGTTTTATCTCTATTATGAGAATTTGAGGGACCGCTAAGGAGTATACAGGAAATGTCAGCTTGGATAAGGATGCAGTTTTTGTTAACAATGTTCTACCAAACAACATCGTCTCTTTGAAGCAAATTATTCAAGGTCTTACTACATTTGACAATATTGTCTTGTAATTTTTTCTTTTGTTAGTAGCTTAACATTTTACAGTAGCTTTTAACATTTTACAGTAGCTTTTAACATTTTACAGTAGCTTTACTCCTCCTACATGTCTCTGCATGAGTGCAGCTACAGCGTGCGCTCTTAGGACATTATTACCTGCAGTGTTCCCTCAGTGAAGACTGAGCTTGGCAAAAGGGCCTTCTCCTACTCTGCTCCTGTTTCCTGGAATATCTTGCAAAAAGATCTGAAGCTCTCGACCTTGACCTCTCTAAATAACTTCAAACATCTGCCAAGTTCCTTGCAAAAATAAATGCAGACATGTTCCTGTTTATAGTTTTCGACACCGCCTTAAAGTCTAGCTGGGGGGGTTTCGCTACTTTTTCCTTTTGACTGTCCTTTTGGTTGCCATTTTATTTTGTAAAAAAAAAAAAGAAGAATTCGTATGCCTCTTTTATGACTGCCTATTGTTGTCGTTATCCACTGTTGTCATCACTCTGTTAAAAATTCAGGTCTCTCTTGTAAATGAGTCCTCGAGTCTCAATGGGATTAACCCAATTTATTGGCCGCAATTTCCTTAATTTTGGGAAATCGGCCTATACTTGCATGAGAAACCATCCACCCATCCATCCATTATCTTTACCCGCTTATTCCATTTTGGGTCACAGAGGTCGCAATCATTGTGCGAGGGGCGGGGTACACCCTGGACGGGTTGCAAGTCCATCACAGGGCCACATAGAGACAAACGAGACAAACAACCATTCAGTCTCTCACTCACACCTAGGGACAATTTAGAGTTACCAATCAGCCTAACATGCATGTTTTTGGTCTGTGGGAGGAAACCGGAGTACCCGGAGAAAGCCCACACATGCACGGAGAGAACATGCAAACTCCACCCAGAAAGGCCCCTGGACCGGGGTTTGAACCATGGACCTGCTCGCTGAGAGGCAGCAGCTCTACCAGTTGCGCCACCGTACTGCCCGCATGAGAAACCAATTTTACCTATCTTTTTTTTTGTTTGTTTTAACAACAATTGTCTAAACTTCATTTGTATTTCAGAGAACTACCTCATGGCCAGTTAAAACAAGCTTGTATTGTGTCTAAGATATTGTTCAAAGGTATGTTTTTCAATCAAATAAAATTGGAAAATTGAAGGTACAATGTGACCTTATAACACCTGACAGTGTCGCTTATAAAACAAAATCGGTATTGGCCAAAATCGGAATCGGCAGGTCAGGCTTTTTAGAAATCAGTGATCGGCTAGAAAACTACAATCGGTGCACCCCTAACTTGAAGTCCTGCACCTTTGTGACCTTGGCTCCTTGTAGCCTCACTGTTCCACCGGCCTCCCTCTCATTCACACACACGTACTCTATCTTACTACAGCTGACTTTCATTCCTCTTCTTTCATGTGCATACCTCTACCTCTCCAAGTTCTCTTCCACCTGTTCCCTGTTCTCACCATAGATTATCTGCAAACATCATAGTCCACGGGGATTCCTGCCTGATCTCATTTGTTAGTCACTAACTCCTCCTTCAGGACCACCCCTACTCCATTTCTCTTTCTATCCACACCATGGTAAAATAGTTTGAATCCTGTTCCAATGCTGTGAGCCTTGCTGCCCTTCCACATGGTCTCTTGGACAAAACTACCTTCCTTCTCTGCATCATGCCAGCCAGCTTGCTACCTTTGCCTGTCACTGTCCCCACATTTAGAGATGCAACCCATAGTTCTACATTCAGTATTCCACATAATTTGTTTTACATGATTTACAAGCATACTTTCCTTTGAGATTTTTGATTAGATTCATGTTGAGCATAATGTTTCCACATGAACGGTTATTAAATGTTCCACCCAAAAATTTGAAAATGTTTATTTCTGCTTCACAAATTCAAGTGCATTTAACTGAAAGATCAAAACAAACAGTGTTAGTAGGAACATTTCCGTCTCAGTGCTCTCTATTAAAACGTCTCATGCTTTTGTAAGAACTTGTCAAAAAATTACACAAGGACTTACATTCCTAAAGGAAAATACATTGTGGTATGAATATTTGTATCACGTATCAGTACTACATGCACATTAATGTTTGATAAATGGTATAAATAATGCAACAAATGTCACATTAAAAAACAATGTTGCTCCCTCGTGCTGCTGCAGGTCCCTCACAGGTCTTTACCGCAGTCGGGACAGTAGATATCATCGCTGAACGTCAGGAAACCTCGACCAACCAGAGACTCGTTGCACTTTTTGCAGTTGAAGCAGTTGTTGTGCCACTGGCGCTCATCAAACGAGATGTACTTGCTGCCTCCAAGACCTGAGATGGAAACAGCAGAGGAGAGTCCCATGATCTCTGTAATCCAATAACCCTTTAATTGATGGTGAATGGGCACATGGGAGTCATACGACCTGGAAACTGTCTGCTATATAATAAAGGTGTTGTTTATTTATGTCTGATTCTGTTGGAATCAAATTTAGATCTGAATCAGCCATAAATATTAGACACTGTATGTCAAATTTGGACTTATTCTAGGCTCCATCAAAATGACTTCAAAAATATAGAAAAACTAATTTTCTGCTGTTTCTGCACCTCTTGTCCGCATGCAAACTAAAGTGAAAACACATTTTTAAAAACTTTAAACTGATTTTTTTGTTTCTGACTTTGACAATAAAGTTGAAATAGTTGTTCCTAACCAAGAATGAGGAAGCAAATCCCACTGAGACTCTGAACCCGACTACATTCTGTTTTTATTATCACGATTTCTATAGAGTTCAATAATTTACTGTGGTAGAAGCTAAGATCCATCCCAAACTTATACTTTGAGAACTAACCAATTACAAAAGAACTGGTTTTAAAACTTTGACATGACCTATAAGAGTAAACTTCGTCTGGTCTGTCAACAAATTAATTATTTAACTCGTAGACAAATTTTAATGAAACAGAAAAATGTAGATGAATGTACATCAAAAACTAATTAACATTTGAAGTCAAACCAATTGAAATATTGTCATCCCAGCCAATAGACCATAGCCAACACAAAAATGGCTGTCTTCTTCTTTTCTTATCTTTCGGCTCTTCCTTTATCAGGGGTCTCCACAGCGAATCATCCTCCTCCATCTCACTCTGTCCTCACTCCATCTACCTCCATGTCCTCTCTAACTGCATCCATAGATCTCCTCTTTTTCTTTTTCCTGGCAGCTGCATTTCTAACATTCTTCTACCAATATGCCCACTGTCCCTCCTCTGGACATGTCCAAACCATCTCAGTCTGGCCTCTCTAACTTTATCTCCCAGTTGTTCAACCTGTGCTGTACCTCTGATGATCTCATTCCTAATCTTATCCAGCCTTGTCACTCCTAAGAAGAACCTCAACATCTTCATTTCTGACACTTCCAGTTCTTTCTCCTGTCTTTTTGTCCATGTCTCTGTCTCCAGACCATACAACATAGCTGGTCTCACCACTGTCTTGTAAACTTTTCCTTTGACCTTTGCTGACACCCTTTTGTCACAAATCACTCCTGAAACTTTTCTCCATCGACTCCATCCTGCCTGGACTCTCTTCTTCACCTCTTTACCACACTCCCCATTTTCCCAGACACTGGACACCAAGTACTTGAAGTCCTGCACCTTTGTGACCTCTGCTCCTTGTAGCCTCATTGTTCCACCGGCCTCCCTCTCATTCACACACATGTACTACAGCTGACTTTCATTCCTCTTCTTTCAAGTGCATACCTCCACCTCTCCAAGTTCTCTTCCACCTGTTCCCTGTTCTCACCACAGATAACAATGTCATCATCAACATCATAGTCTACAGGGAATCCTGCCTGATCTCATCTGTTAGTCGGTCCATCACCAGAGCAAACACGAAGGGGCTCAGAGCTGATCCTTGATGCACTCCCACCTCCACCGTGAAGCTATCTGTCACATCTACAGCACATCTCACCACTGTCCTGCTGTCCTCATACATGTCCTGCACCAGTCTAACACACTTCATCATACAACACTAAAATCTAAAATCTGAACATGTTTCCATATTCTTTTCACAGGATGTCAAAAAAAAAAAAAAGCATAGCAATGTTTAAAAGGGCAGTATTATTCAAAATCATGCACAGGTTAACTTTACCACTGATCGGTTTGGTGCAGTGGGCACATTTCTTGGCGAACAGGTTGCAGAAGCACTCGAGGCAGTAGGCCAAGTCATCCCGAGAGGTGAATCTCTGGCCAGCCAGCTGCATCTTGCACCCGATACAAACGAAGCATTCCTTGTGCCATGACTGGTCCTGGTAGCTCACCCCTCCAGCGATAATGGCCTTAGAGATGGATGGAAACAAACAAACCAAAAAAAAATAATAAAATCACGTCATTCCTACTTGATTTTTTTATTTCAGCTGATGGGTTTCACCAGCAAGATTTAAACACAAATGACTTTCAAACATCAGTCATGGAAGAAACATCTCCTGAAGTAAGCGGCACAAGAAATCTTGTGTAATCTTTTAGCTCTTAGACTCTTAGCTATCATCACACTGTATTTTTTGCAGTAGCTGATTATCAAGTTGGATCCATTTCTGTATTTGCTAAGGTCAGTTAGCTGCAACAGCCATTTTGAATCAGGTTGACATAACATATGTCAGATATAGATGTGCATCCAGTGATTACCGTCTGTAAGTTTCTTTAAAATCTAACCAGTTATTGCCATATTGTGCTAACATACAAATACACACAGACACAAAATGGTGGATGATAACAATTTGATTTATGCCAGTAAAGAAGAAGGGTTGTAAGCTCAATCATTCAGGTAGATAACAAAAACGGTTAAATCGTGTCATCTGGACCAGTTTCTTGAAGTGAGAAACGTTTCGTCCCCCATCCAGAGGACTTCATCAGTCTACGGCCTGCCAACCAGATCTGTCCCATAGGTAGCCTTCACTGCTGTGTTTCAAGACAACTTACTGTTGGAATCTCAAATCTGGGCTAAAACATTTGATTGTTGTACATGATGATTGTTTTGGACGGGTGTGCTCTATTTGCACGTGCTAAAAGCCTTCTTCTGAGATTCCAACAGGAGTTGCCTTGAAACACAGCAGTGAAGGCTACTTATGGGACAGATCTGGTTGGCAGGCCGTAGACTGATGAAGTCCTCTGGATGGGGGACGAAACGTTTCTCACTTCAAGAAACTGGTCCAGATGACACAATTTAACCTTTTTTGTTGATACCTAAAAGGAATTTCAGGGAGATAATACTTTAAATAAAATTTAAATTGAGGTAAAAAAAAAATCGTCTAAAGGCTAACAGGCATACAGCCATTGGGGATCTTCACTCATGACGTCACGCATATCATTTGCACAGACAATCCATCGCCCCCTCTCACAGTGAGCCAGATGTTCGTACGGTGGCATGGCATGGTTTAACCGTAACAGAAAAAGAAGACAGGGCTGACTTTGGTAAATATTCAACCTTTTTCATCCATCCATCCATCCATACAGCCATTCTCTTCTGCTTATCCTGGGTCGGATCGCGGGGGTACAGCTTAAGTAGGGAGGCCCAGACTTCCCTCTCCCCAGCCACTTGGGCCAGCTCCTCCAGGGGAATCCCAAGGCGTTCCCAGGCCAGCCGAGAAACATAGTCCCTCCAGCGTGTCCTGGGTCTTCCTCTGGGTCTCCTCCCGGTGGGACGTGTCCGGAACACCTCACCAGGGAGCCTCGTCCAGGAGGCATCCTAACCAGATGCCCGAGCCACCTCAACTGGCTCCTCTCGACATGGAGAAGCAGCGGCTCTACTCCAAGTCCATCCCGGATGACCGAGCTTCTCACCCTATCTGTAAGGAAGAGCCCAGACACCCTGCGGAAAAGACTAATTTTGGCCGCTAGTATCCGCAATCTTGTTCTTTCGGTCACAACCCAAAGCTCATGACCATAGATGAGGGTAGGAACGTAGATCGACCAGTAAATTGAGAGCTTCGCCTTTTGACTCAGCTCTCTCTTCACCACGACAGACCGGTGCAGCGCCCGCTTCTCTGCAGATGCTGCACCCATCAGCCTATCGATCACACGCTCCATTTTCCCCTCGTTCTTGAACAAGACCCCGAGATACTTAAACTCCTCCACTTGGGGCAGGACCTCCTCTTCAACCCGGAGAGGGCACTCTACCCTTTTCCGGCTCAAGACCATGGCCTTAGATTTGGAGGAACTGATCCTCATCCCGGCCGCGTCATACTCTGCTGCGAACTGCTCCAGCTCTATGGGATTATACAGGTTAATCCCATTGAGCCTCGGGGACTCATTTACAAGAGAGACCTGAATATAATACACAAACGTTCAGTTGAAACGCTGGCTGGAGCGTCGAGGTCTTCGACAGACTGGAAATGTGTGTGCGTCATGTCTGCGCCCAGTCAAATTCAGCTCAACCCATTGCTCTAATCCAGCGATCAGACTTCTTTGGCTGAGTCTTTGGCTTGAAAAATGATGAAAAATAATCCTTCCAAGTGAGGAAGATGGGTCTGCCCAATGTTGTGTGGTCCCCCTGGTGTAATTCAATTTTATTTATTATATTTCAATTTTCTTCAAGCTTAAAACACGGCTAAAATGTATGCTGCCATTGAAATGTATACAGCCTGCTATGAGTGTTTGTACTAGTGTGGGTGTTGCGCAATCTTAGTCACATGACTAGTGTTGTACGAGTGAAAGTGCGCCATTAGCATACCGTAGGTTAGCTAATTTGCTAGACCCCACAAACATAGCAAAGGCAATTTTGTTGAACTGTCAAAAAGATTGACAATTTTAAAACATCTTCAACTAGTTTAGCATTTAGCTTAGTATGATAATTCAACGGTGATTATTCGGTTCTTCTTAGCCTAGTTGGTGTTCATTACGTGTTAGTTTGTGTTGGGCCATTCAGTAGAGTAACCATGAGTGAGGGAGGTGGTTGTCATGAAGACGAGTGAGGTTCACTCTGTCTGTGTGTGTGTGTGTGTTGAACAGTAAAATAAAGTCTATCAAACGCCATCTGGTGGTTGATTCTTGATCTACAACAAGAGCTGGACATCTCTCTCAGTAGCTGTGTGCTGCCACTCGTTACAACGTGAACACTCGCAGCTTAAACACAAGTGCGGCTTATGTATGTCCATCCATCCATTATCTTTACCCGCTTATTCCATTTTGGGTCACGGGGGTCGCTGGTGCCCATGTCCAGCAATCACTGTGCGAGGGGCGGGGTACACCCTGGACGGGTCACAAGTCCATCACAGGGACACATAGAGACACACGAGACAAACAACCATTCAATCTCTCACTCACACCTAGGGACAATTTAGAGTTACCAATCAGCCTAACATGCATGTTTTTGGTGTGTGGGAGGAAACCGGAGTACCTGGAGAAAACCCACGCATGCACGGAGAGAACATGCAAACTCCACCCAGAAAGGCCCCTGGACCGGGGTTTGAACCAAGGACCTGCTCGCTGAGAGGCAGCAGCTCTACCAGTTGCGCCACCGTGCTGCCCGGCTTATATATGTACAATTTATTATTATTATTATTATTATTATTTTATTAGTATTACCGTATTGTTTTAAGTGTGTGCAGCTTATATTCAGGTGCGCTCTATAGACCGGCATTTACGGTAAACTTGATCAAACTGCCTTCACGTCTCACTCTTCTAAAACTAAATAATGAGTTCAAATTGTAAAAAAAAAAAAAAAAAAAACTGGCTAATAAACAAGGGTAAATTTGATATTTAAACTTCATTACTGTTTATTGAAGTTCAAAAACTCATTTTGTTTTCCTAAAACTCTGCTGTTTTAACATTTCATCTCACTTTATAAGACTGTAATCCTCTTTTCCCGTTTAATGCTGATTTACTGTCAATTAAAACAGACGACTGCAGCCTGATTTAACAGCTTTCAGCAGAAAAAAAAAAAAAAACGACTCCTCCGACTCCTGGCTGCTTGGCCATCTGTTTCCTGGATCATCCATGCGAGTCCCTCTATCCCGTTATGCCTTTTTTTTAAACTGCGCCTTGGCATTTATTTACACCAACCTTCACACATCTATGTTAAGGAAGGGGGAAATCTGTCAAAATTTGACTCGGAATGCTGAAAGTAGACTAAAACTTATAAACCAATTAGAGATGCACAATATGGGATTTTTGGCCAATATCCGATATGCCAATATGTTAAAACTTATTTGGCCGATAACTGATATCAATACTGATTTTTGTTTTCGTATACCTACTTACAGAGACTACATAGCTTTCTCGGCTGTGGAATTAAAATACTACATTATTCTACATGGTCTTTGTCAGTTTGGCCTGCTACCATGCCAAAGAGGGGCTGAAAATGATGTAGCACTTCAACTTGGATTATTTTTAATGTTAAATTTACTCTCTCCAACACAATGACAACACTCGAACAGTGCAAGTTTGTAAATTTTCACAAATATAAACTCAACCTGTTCACAAGTGAAAAGCATATAAGTACCGTATTTTCCGCCGTACACGTTGCTCTGCCCTATAAGTCGCATCAGTCCATATTTGTCGAATAAAGTGGAAAAATCCATAAATACGTCGCTTCGCCGTATACGTTGCATCTATTACGCGTCACCGCTGACAACCTGGAAATGTGGACCGGTGTTGTGACAAAAATCGATGGGCTGCCAAATGACGGCCGCGGGAGCGTTCACGGGAGGACTTTAACAAGAATTTAACAAGATTAACACTTAAAAACAATTATTTATTTGCTCGAAATGATAGTAAATGTGTGTCAGTCTAACGTTTGCTTAAAAAATGCACTTTAATGGTCAAATTAGCTGCATTTTGCCGGGGCAGTGCAGCTGGTTTGACGGTCGGTCTAAGCAGCGAGCAGAACGAAGGTGGGTCTGTGGCAGGCTGATTGTGTCATTAATAGATGTATGGCAGGCTGATTGTGTCATTAATAGATGTATGGCAGGCTGATTGTGTCATTAATAGCTGGTGAAGATTCTCATTCATCCAGGATATGGTAAATTCAAAAAAGTTCAAGACAAATCAATAAAGTATAAAGTAAAGTATAATAAATAAAGTCCAGTTGTTTTTGTCTTGACCTTTTTTGAATTCGTCATTACAGCCACGTTTACTTATTACATGATACAACGGCATGCCATACAGCTACTGTTACTCTGCTGCCATCAAAGGGCTGAAAGTGGTCTTGCTTAATTATTATTTTTCAGTCAGAATGAATGAAAACGGTCATATCAGCCAAAAAAATGGTTTATAAATATGTCGCTTCGGCCTATAAGTCGCAGGGCGTGTAAATTATGCAAATAACTGTGACTTATAAGGCGGAAAATACGGTAGTAGTGCATTGATAGATATACTTGACAATTTCTTAAATTAAAAATTAACTTAAAACAAGCCTTTTATATCGTTGTGTTATTTTGATGGAATGTCCGATATTTAACGTTATTGCTAATATCGGCCGATACAGATACTATACCGATAATATCGTGCATCCCTAAAACCAATGTTAAATTGGTGTTCTGCTGTAAAAATCATTTTCAAACTGATTCACTTTCATAGCAAACAAGCACAAAAACTAACTATGTTGCATTTTCATAGCATTGTGGGGATGTCTAACGAACGTTAGGAATGTTCTTCCTCTGTCCTACCTTCTTGCAGTGAACACACTTCAGAGCAAACTGCTTCTCGTAGCATGGCAGGCAGTAGTTGCTGCCTTCCTTCTTCACAAAGCTCCTGGTGCCGATGGGCTGCTGGCAGCTGCTGCAGACGAAACACTTCTCGTGCCAACTGTTGCCTTTGTGCTCCATCTTCTTGGTGCCTGGAGAACAAACGGAGCAGAAAACTGTCCTGTAACGTGACCTCCGTGTCAGTGCACCATGAGGTGGTGCTTCCCGAACAATACGGTGCACGGCCTTTACAGACCGAGACCGTTAATTAAAATCAGAGGCTTCAAAACCAGATTTTAACCAGTTCTCTCACCTGGCATGATGGTGTTCAGGCAGGCATGGCATTTAGCGGAGTACTCGGTGCAGTAGCACTCTATGCACATCAGCAGGTCGTTCTTGGCGGCAAAGGGTCGATCGACGAGCGATCGGCTGCAAGTGTTGCACAGGAAACACTCGCTGTGCCAGTGGCGGTCCTTGTAGGACAGATCCTGCACAGACCAAGACCTTTAAAATCACAACGCGTCCTCAACACAGCTTTATCGGTTATTTTATTTTTAAAAAATTTGGCTGATTTTTTTCAAGTACTTTTTAAAACAAGACAAATTTTGCAGATTGTGGTATTATGAGGTTTATTAGAGTGGATACTGATTTACTTTTGTTCCGTTTTTGTTTTTCTGCACGCTCCGTTTTGATTAAAGTAATTCCCCATGTGTTTTATTTCAGCCATGTTTATATCAAAACGTTCAGCTTATTCAGGAGATGGGCGCCAAACTTTTCAGTTTAGTAACTTTTACATCATTGTAAATATTTAACTTGATTTACAGATATTCTGCTCAGATATACATCGAGATCTCTTTCGTTTGTTTAAAAAAAAAAAAAAGACTTCTATTTGAAATCTTCATTCTGGCTTTATGTTGGTCTTATTATTATACTTTTGCTTTATTTTTGCTACTTTTAGCTAGTGACTTGTTTAGATTTTAGCAAACCTTTTGCTGCTATTACTTTACTTTTACTGCTTTTAGTTAGACTCTTGTTATTTTTGGTTTTAAGATAGCTTTTTGCTATTTTGGATGTTTAGCTAAATTTTTCTACTTTTGGCTAAATTTTTGCTAATTTAGCCTTTTAGCTAGCTGTTGCTACTTTTACTTTTAGCTAACCTTTTCCTATTTTAGACTTTTAGCTAGATTTTTGCTACTTTTAGCTTTTTTCTACTTTTACTTTAAGATAGGGCAGCATGGTGGCACAACTGGTAGAGCTGCTGCCTCTCAGCGAGCAGGTCCCTGGTTCAAATCCCAGTCCGGGGGCCTTTCTCGGTGGAGTTTGCATGTTCTCTTCATGCATGCGTGGATTACTCCGGGTACTCCGGTTTCCTCCCACAGACCAAAAACATGCATGTTAGGCTGATTGGTAACTCTAAATCGTCTCTAGGTGTGAGTGAGAGAGTGAATGGTTGTTTGTCTCGTTTGTCTCTATGTGGCCCTGTGATGGACTTGCGACCCGTCCAGGGTGTACCCCGCCCCTCGCACAGTGATTGCTGGACATGGGCACCGGCGACCCCCATGACCCAAAATGGAAGAAGCGGGTAAAGATAATCGATGCTTTAAGATAGCTTTTTGCTATTTTGGACGTTTAGCTACCTTTTTTTTTTTCCCTACTTTTAGCTAACTTCTTGCAAATTTAGACTTAGTTAGCTGTTGCTACTTTTAACTAACTTTTAGCTATTTTAGACTTTTAGCTAGATTTTTGTTACTTTTGGCTTACTTTTTGCTATTTTGGGCTTTTAGCTAGCTTTTTGCTACTTTTAGCTAGCTTTTTGCTATTTGTAACTTTTAGCTAGCTTTTTGCTAATTTGGGCTTTTAGCTAGCCTTTTGTTACCATACCATACCAATTTATTTATATAGCACTTTAAACAGTGACAAAGCACACCAAAGTGCTGTACAGGGACAAACAGAACAAGCACACAGCAACAGATTACATAACAGGACACCAAAATTAGAAACCAACAAAAACAATAATGGATAACAACAACAACCGCAACATGACCAACACAGTGTGATGCACACAGACTCAGCACAGATCACACAGTGCTGAAAGCCAGGGAATAAAAGTGTGTTTTTAAGCGAGATTTAAAAACTGTGAGGGAGGGGGCCTGTCTAACGAGCAGAGGTAACTCATTCCAAAGTCTTGGGCCTGCTACAGAGAAGGCCCTGTCACCTCTGCGCTTGAGACGGGTTCCTGGGACTGTTAGGAGCAACTGGTCTGCTGATCTGAGAGAACGTGGTGGGACATACGGCTGGAGCAGATCAGTAAGATAGGAGGGGGCAGAGCTGTTTAGTGATTTATAGACATACAAGAGTATTTTGAATTTGATTCGAAGGTGAACCGGAAGCCAGTGTAGGGAGGCCAAAACAGGTGTAATGTGCTCTCTTTTGCTTGTGCTGGTCAAAAACCGGGCTGCTGCATTTTGGACCAGTTGAAGTCTAGCTATGGAGGTCTGACTGATACCAAAAAGGAGTGAGTTGCAATAGTCGAGCCTGGATGTAATGAATGCATGAATTACTGTCTCCAGGTTATTTTTGGACAAAATGGGCTTCAGCTTAGACAGTCGCCTCAGCTGGAAAAAGCAGGATTTAACAATCATATTTACATGATTGTTGAGTTTCAGAGAAGGGTCAAGTATCACTTCTAGATTAGTGACTCTTTGTTTCACCAACGGTGACAGAACGGATAGGTCGATGCCGTGGTTGGTGATTGTGTCATTGGGAGGAAACAGCATAACTTCAGATTTCTTCTCATTGAAACTCAAGAAATTTAAAGCCATCCAATCTCTGATGTCAGCCAGGCAGTCTAGTAACGGTTGAATAGAGCGAGTACCGTTGAGTCTGAGGGGGAAGTAGATTTGGCAGTCGTCGGCGTAGAAATGAAAAGGTATGTTATGTTTCCTGAAAATAGCACCTAGTGGCAGCAGGTATAAAGAAAATAAAAGAGGACCAAGGATGGACCCTTGCGGTACCCCCCATTTAAGCGCTGCCGAGGCTGAACTAAAATCTTTGTTGGAGACAAAAAAGGACCAGTTGCTTTTAGCTAGCATTTGACTATGTTTAGATTTTAGGAGTGTTATGCTTCTTTTAGCTTTTAGCTAGTGTTCTGCATTTTCTTTGTTGTTGTTTTGTTTTAACAAATCCATTTCAGCTTCTTCAGAAATTTTCAGCAGTCTCAAAATTCACACTGAGTTTTAGAAGGAAATGCAATTTCACCTTCACATGCCTCTAACTGCAGGATAAACAACATTTTATATTGTACAAGGTACCGGTACAGCCCACAGAGAGATTTTCTTTACTTCTTAGAAAAAGCAACGAGTTTTGTTAGCTGGATGTTGGTGAATCACCTTGCTGGTGCAGCTGATGAGCTTGTTGCACAATTCGCAGATGCTGGAGAAAAGTCCCTCGTAGCACTTGATGCAGTACGGCTGTTCCTCCCTCAGGATGTACTTCTGCCCCAGCAGGGAGTCCTTACACTCCCAGCAGTCGTAGCGCTCAGACATTTTGACTCTTCTTGTCGAGTCCTCCGATCTGCATAATAAAACTCAGTTACTTCCCAACGTTTTAAAAACAGACGTGTTGTGGTTCTTTTTGACCCAAGGGCAGCAAGAGGGTCAATATCTGGATTTTTGGAATTGCGCAGAAGCTGCCTTGATACACGTCAAACTTTTTTTTTAAATTATTTTAGTTTCTTCTGTAAAACCGGTTATTACGATACATCGATACATTGATAAAATAGCACTAAACATCCTCTGTTCCCATGGAAACCATATACTTATTAGCCACATAAACCAATACACACTATAAACCCTTTAACCATTAAACTGTCCTCGTCTTCAACATCACTCCACTCACTGCTTTCAGGTTGGATGTCTGATTTATGTCAGAACTGATATTTAGAAAACAGAAAACGTTTCCTTAAAGCGGCTCGAGCAGCTTATGCATAAAATCTAAAAAGGAACCTAAATAATACGACAGTAAATTAGCCAAGAACTAACTTTTATTGCTGTAAATATTCAACTCAGATTTAAAGCAGGAAAAATATACTTACCAAAATTTCACTTTGAATAAAATAGGACGCTCCTGATGTGCTGCCGGCTTGCAGTCTGAGAGCAGAGACGTCTACTGTACGCTGAAATACATCAACTTTATTAAATTACATCAAGCTGTGACCCAAACTGGAGGCAGGAGGGTGGAGACTGCTATAAATCAGGTTAAATGTGAACTAATATTAAAACATACAAAAGCAGCTAAATAAATAAATAAATAAATTTTAAAAAGCAAGTAAGACGAAGACATTCCTGAGTACTTTTACAGCTTCAAGTAAATGCTGAGTTAAGTTTCAACCATTTGTTTCCATTAATTTGTGGTAGGCATTTTATCAGCAATGTATGCATATTTATTGCTGAAAGGTGAAGGCTGACAATAATTTTGCAAGTGTGCATTCATTTCTCCATGGCAATAGCAAAATATCTCGTAAATTGAACCGATTAGAAGCATACTCTAGGAAAAGCAATCCCTGGAAGTACACGTACAACTCGGTGACATTTGGAATCAACCCTATTCAAGATGTCCGCCACAGCTAAGTGACCTCAGCCATGACAAACATGTCAAATTCAGACAATTTTACAGATATTGACACAGTAGCTGAACATTCTCCTTAACCGTAAGCCCTTTGAAAGTTTTTAATTGTGTTGTTGAAGCATTGGATGCCAAGGACTGCTGTGCTGCACTTTATTTAGACCTGTCTAAAGCTTTTGATACTGTAGACCATGAGATCTTGTGCCATAAGCTCTCAGACATTGGTTTCTCAGGTCACACCATTGGTTGGTTCTCTAATTATCTCTCAGATCGGAGGCAATGTGTTCAACATAATGGTACTTCTTCCAGTTATTTAACTGTCAACAATGGTGTACCACAAGTCTCAATCTTAGGACCCACTCTCTTTACAAGCTACAAAAATAATGTAGGTCAGATCATCCCTGATGCATCCTTCATTTCTATGTCGACGATACAGTTGTTTATTGTCGAGCTAATCAGTTGCTAAGGTTTTCCAGCTTTTACACTCTGCATTCAACATCATCCAGTCAGATTTGTTCCATCTCAAACTGGTGCTAAATGCTGACAAAAACCAAAGGGGTTATGTTTTTAAATAGGAAGTGCCAGTAGGTACCAGCGGTTCTTCCTTCTACCTTATTTACGAATGGTGTTCCTGTAGAGTTTGTTGATTCTTACAAATACTTGAGAATCTTGGTTAATGCTCTTTTAAACCTCATGTCGAAAACTTGATAAATAAATTGAAATTAAAGTTGGGTTTCTTTTTCAGAACTCAATCTTGTTTAACTCTGAATGCTAGGAAACTCCTTGTAATGGCTACTTTCCTTCCAGCCATCGACTAGGGTGACATTATTTACATGGATGCTCCTGCAAGCACCTTGCAAATGTTCGATGCTGTCTGTCTTGGTGTGCTACGATTCATAGCTGGCTGTAAATATTGTACCTATCACTGCACCCTGTATTCACTGGTTAACTGGTCATCATTAACTTCACGCAGATCCTTCCACTGGTACATTTTCATCCTTAAATCACTCTTTGTTCCGTTGCCTCCATATACCTCCTCCTAAATGTCACGTCATCAGTGCAGCTACAGCGTGCGCTCTCAAGACAACATTACCTGCAGTGTCTCCTCAATGCAGACCAAATTTGACAAAAATGCCTTCTCTTACTCTGCTCCTGTTTCCTGGAACACCTTGCAAAAAGGTCTGAAGATATCCACTTTGACCTCTAAGGGATTTTAAACAACAGTCAAGTTCAATGCAAAAATCATTGCAGACATGTTCCTGTTTTTAGTGTTTTTATCTAATTTCATAATGTAGCTTGTTTTTATTTTGTTATATACCACTACTTTTATTTACTTTTCACTTTATATGTTTTGAATGACCTGTCCAGTGTGTACCCCGCCCCTCGCACAGTGATTGCTGGACATGGGCACCGGCGACCCCCGTGACCCAAAATGGAAGAAGCGGGTAAAAGATAATGGATGGATGTTTTGAATTGTTGTCTGTACCTCATCTGTGTTTTTTTGTTTAAAACAGGTCTCTCTTGAAAATGTGTCCTCGTGACTTAATGGGACTAATCTGTATAAATAAAGATTGCATGAACTGTAAGGTTAAACCATCTGCAGGTCATTGAGTTTGAAAAACCTCCTTGCCATCAGTCTGGTCCATTTTTACATTAAATGAACATATCAAAGACGTTAAAATCTTGATTTTGTTCCCAGTTCTCTTCAACGTGTTTTGCTTAATGATCTTGGATGCACTAAATGGGCAAACCATCACACCAAGAGGGACTATATGAAGGTGGTCCATCATCTATAGCTCTTAACACCATCCACTCTTCTGGAAAGTCTTCTCTGTTCCACCTCATCCTGAAGGTGCTCAATGGAGTTGAGACCAGCAAAGTTCTTCTCCGTTGACATATTAAACCACATCTTTACAGTCGTTCACCTTGTTATTGGACCATAGTCAAGTAGAAGTTTCTGCAATGGTGTTCCCAAAACCTCAACTGGATTGAAAATTTAACAACTTAAACTAAAAGAAAGGTTGGTGCAAGAAAACATCTAGTTGAAATGAACTCTACCAATTCTGCCAAGAAGAAGAAGAAGCGTGGTCAAACATCCAGGATTAGTTCATCAAGTTGATCGCTCACAGTTGAGGACATCCATGTATGATGGGTGTATGTAAACTTCTGACTCCAAATGTATGTGGAGAAACAGTGATTTATGTTTGAGAATTATTGATCCTTAAAAACGGTCAAATTTTGTGTTAAAAATCTTTTGGCATGACAAATATATTTGAAGCAGCAAGATGCTGATCCCCACGTCAGATTGGCTTTTTGATTTTTTAATCTTTTTTTGTCAAAATATGTTTTTTCTCTCTCTCTGAATTAAATAAAGTGAATAGTTCAAGGTGATTAGTCGGCAGAGTTTGAGGTTTTTAGACTCATAGCCCAAAAGCCAACATACATTTGTATGGTCTTTTTTTCTAGTGAGTTACAATTCGGTTTAACCGTTTATTTTGGTTTACAATTTCACACAGATTTTGATTTTATGTCAGTAACTGATCTTATTTAAGCAATGTGACTGGGTATCAGCAGCCCAATAACAAATCTGGATTAAGGAATGAAGAAAAACTCCCAAGAATTTCCCGTCATCAAATTAAGAAATGGAGCCAATGTCATAATGAAACTTGGACTTTCGTTGTTCAATTTGTCCCAAGTGAGGAATCTATTTTGGTCAAACCTGACACGGCAGGTGAAAACACGAAAAACAATCCAGATAGGAGCAAGATATCAGATTACTTCTTTATTTTTTTTTAAAAAAGGCGAACACTAAAAGAAATATGAATTTGATCAAATGCATTAAAGTGGGGACCTGAGGTTGGGTGTGGATCAATGGGACTTCTGTCCTGGAAGTCAGATGTTACTCAAACTGGATTACCAAGGTTCAGCCAGTTGGACCTGCGATGGTGGGAAGGTGCTGACCTGCCCGGCCTCTGGTCATGAGGTTTGAGTTTTTAAACATAAAGAAGGTCAGAGACGAACCAAAGCTTCTCAGGTTCAGCTCCTTCATGCTTATAGGTAATACCTCGAACATCCACTAATGGCTCCAATTTATATATATATATATATATATATAAAATAAAAGTTGAAAGTAAACCATGTCTGTTTTAAAATGTTAAAATTGTAGCTAAAGCTTTTACAATGTCAATGTTTTGAATCAAGTGACTAATTTAATGTATTAAGCAACAGCGGGTGATCTTCCTCGAAGAACATAGATAGAAAGAACTCATCAGTCTGGTTTGAATGCCATTAATAGTTTCTGAGAAGCCAGCCACTTGGTTTAAATGTACAGTAGTAGATCTGATTTAAGAGTTGTAAATCTCCTTAACAACACAGAGAAACTCAGTTTCTCTGCACTTGAACTCATAAAACTCTTAGCGGATCAATTAGATTTCTTTTATTGAATTCAAATAATTTGTGTCAAAGAAAACGGGGACTTTCTTGACTGTTTTCAACCTACAGTTCAGAAGTACTGGGGTAGTATTAGTAGTATTGGGGTTCCGAGGACCTGACTTAACTTTGTTAGATTTTTCTACCTGGATTTTTGAGCATGCATCAGGATATACTGGTACCCAGTTCTTCTCCAAACAGAACTGACCTCTGGTGGCCAAGTCGTCTGCAAATTAAAAATTGATGAAGCAGTCTGGGACTTGTTACTTTGGGCTCAAAAGCCAGAAACTGTGCGACAACACGTGCAACACATGTATGTAAGGAACATTTTAGAAAATGACGCCAACGGTTCAAACATAACAGATGATTGTAAACATTTAAACAAACAGAAAAATGCAGCGATTTTTTCTTTATATTTAAAACGTCTTTGTTGAATCATAAAACAAAATCCACTTTCATTCATTTCTTTTTTCTTGAAAAAAATTACATGAAAACTGGTTTATTTAGGATTGAATGCCACTTTATCCCACTGAATATTGAACTTCATGTTAGATCGCACACATTATGTCAGCACATATCCTCCACTGTAACAAATAACATCGGGGCTCCTCAGGGATATGTGCTTAGTCCACTTTTGTTCACAATTTACAACCATGACTGCTCAGCCTCCTTTATATCTAATCTCATCCTCCACACCTAAGATGCAGAACATCATTTATATATTTCATCTCACAAATTTTTTTTTAAATCTTCATTTGTACAAATTTGGAACAGGGTTGTGAAACACTGCACAGGGTTTGTGAGTTGCTTATTATTTTCATTATTTATAACAATGACAGTAAAGATCGGGGCAGTACGATGGCACAACTGGTAAAGCTGCTGCCTCTCAGGGAGCAGATCACCAGTTCAAATTCCGATCCAGGGGCCTTTCTGGGTGGAGTTTGCCTGTTCTCTCCCTACATGTGTGGGTTTTCTCCGGGTACTCCGGTTTCCTCTCACAGACTAAAAACATGCATGTTAGGCTGATTGGTAACTCTAAATTGTCCCTAGGTGAGAGTGAGAGAGTGAATTGTTGTTTGGCTCGTTTGATACATACAGCACACTGTGGTGATAGCTGGACATGGGCACCAGTGACCCCCGCCACCAATAGGAAGAAGCGGGTAAAAAATAACGGATAGATAGATGGATGGACAATAAAGATCCTGATTCTGAAAATAATACTCATGCAACTAAAAATATGTTGGAACACTGACAAGTTAAATGTGTTACTACCTCTGGTAATCAAAGATCTAATGTGAGATCTATTTAGAAAGGGTGGCTGGATTTTAAAGTCAACAAGAAAAAAAAATACTTAAATGTGGTAACAGATAACTTACAAAAAATAGCATATTGAATTGATTTTATTACTTAAAATAAAAAAATAAAAATTCTAACAGAAATTCAAACGTAAATGTTTGTCTTTTATTTTGAAATCCCAAACAGGAAGCGCTAGTTTGATTACATATGTTTTCGCAAATGCGCAAGACTTTGTAAACAAACTGGTTGCGAAATGGAAAGAGAAACAAATAAAGATGTCAGACCTGTTTGATAAGACTGTGGGACGGAAGTGTTCCTAGTGAAGGAGATGGAGGACCGGCCGCCGCTCGGAGGACACCCGGACTGGATGTCCCGTCTCCCGGAGGAGCTGCTGGACGTCCCGCTGTGGAACCTGGCGATCCCCGGTAAACACCGCCTTAAACAGAAACATGCTTCAGCTTGCAAGGTGAAAGCGTTCAAGTTGAAATAAAGCTGTTGAACTCTTACAGGCAGCCATGACAGCATGTCTTTCTGTCTGGATGTGTCCTCTCCGGTGCTCGGGTCCGAGCCCCGTCTCCTCAGGCTCACCGACCGGCTGTTTCCCTGCTGGACCCGGCCTTGTGTTTACCGCTGGGCCACCGCACAGGTGCGCTGAAGCTCGCTTCCGATTCCAGCTGCGGAAACTCGTTAAAGGGCTATTCCGCAGAATTTTATAAAGTCTGGACCACCTTGGATCACCTCTAGATCAAAAGCTAGAATATGTAGACTGATCAAATCTGATTGGATTATCTCACGCTAAAACCATATTTTTAAAAACACAGATTGTGGTTTTTACCCCCCCCCCCCCCTTTTTTTTTTTTGTAAAATTTAAATTAAAATTATTTATTTTTGGCACCTGGACCACATTAAAAACCATTTCAGTTAAATAACTAAAATGCCTAAACTGTTCAAATCTTAATTACGTCTTTCTTTACTAAAGGCAGAATCAATAAAATCCCATTTAGTTCATATTCGAACAGTCCAAGTATAAAAAAAAAGTGTTTTTAAAAGCACAGCTACTGTAATCGAGACCGCACTTTATCATAAAATAAGGCTGCATGATATAAGAAAGACATGCTATAATATTGTGAAATACTGCAATAATAAAATTATTTGCAATATATATTTCTATTAGCTTTTTGACCATTGCAATACTGATATTGCAATAATAATTTTCAGGCTGCACAGGATTTATTGTGCAGCCTGACATTAAAATCAACAATGTATGTCTGCATATGTAAAAATACTCTTAACATTAAATTACTACACATATTTTATTTAAGTTGGTTTTATACTCAATACACAAACAACAAGTCAATAGTAAATTATAAATGCCACTGGTAATATTTGTCATTGTTGTCCTAAAGAGATATTAAAGTTTTTTTTTTTAATAGACTTTATTTGTGCAACGCAGGAATCCGTCCTCAGGGATCAGTGTGATCTTGGTATCCGGTTCTTTGACCTGCGGATCGCCAAGAAACCAACAGGGGTCCAGAAACTGTTCTTCGCCCACGGCATCTACACACTGATGACTGTCAAGGTAAACATACGGGAAAAAAAAGTTAAATTAATGTATTTTATAACGAAATGCCTTCCTCGAAGGCTTTCTGCTGCCTTTCATGTGAGATTTTTCATGTTATGTTGAGAAATGACAGAGTCAAACCTTAAAGATAGTGTTAGAATCGCTCTTCGAGTACGTTTAAACTGGGCCGCCTTACTGCACGGGCTCACCCGGGCTGAAGATCAGGGGCCCACAGCGCTGGGAGGCCTGTCGTTTTGAGGTCACACGACGAAGTGAAAACATTACATCAATCTTTTGTCAGGTCCTGTCAATCACTACACAAATGATTGCGGCCACTGATTGATCGAAATTTAAAATGATCCAATCAGAGCGTGTGTTGCTCGTCTTGGGGCGTGTCCCTAAATGTTTGACTGACAGCTGTCAACATGTTGGAGAAGTTCGAGAAGGGTGCTCTTAAAACTAAGAATATCCACCTTATTCCTGGGGGCTCTACTGTTTAAATTATTATGGAAACAACTAGGCCTGTTGTGATAAACAATAAATCTATTAATCGCATGATAAATGAAATATATCGACTTCATTTTCATTTATCGGCTTTATCGTTTCTTTGTGTCTCTTTCTACTGAAGACACTGGATGAGAAAAGGCTCGACTCCGGTGCTCTTCACTGACCCCTCCCTTTCTATTTTCCCTTTAAATTCCATTTTAACAATCCAAAATCACATTTTTGGATTGTTAAAAGCAGCTAAGCTGAAAAGCTAAGCTACAAGCTAAGCTAACTGGCCAATATCGGGGAAAAACCTCCGTCTTGTCAAAGCTCCAAAATTCACGGTTGAAACCCGTGCCTTCATGTAAAAAGTTGTTTTTCTCTGCAAAAAGAAGCTGAGAACTTCTTTACGGATTTTTTTGTTAAAAGCTTTGTGTAAAAAATGCTATGCTAAAGAGCTCAAACCACATTGAGCGTCCGCCATTTTGAGAACTGAAAAACAGGAAGGAAAGATAGCCCATGTCACATCAAGAGGCCTCCCTCCCATTTTCCTTAAAGAGACACGCTGCTCGTTCCCTCACTATCCATCCTTTGGTTCACACAGTCTTATACTGCCATCCAGTGGTCAAAAAAGGTACTACACACAAAATTTAATCAACATTTCTAATTAAATTTGACAATAATGACTAATTATTGGAAAATTTCAAACAATATTATCGTTATACTACACTATCGGGTAGTGGTAGTGCAGAGGTTAGAGAAGGTGGGCCTGTGATCGGAAGATTGCTGGTTCAACTCCCGGTTCCGACATTATCAAAATGTGGGTGGGATAGGTGAAGCACCCACACCTGCCTCCACTGTCATTTGCCCCACTCTGGGTCCTTGAGCAAGGCCCTTAACCCCCACCACCTGCTTGCCCAGGCACCCTAGGTAGCAGCTCTCTGCTCCACACAAGAGGGCTGTGGTATCTCGGTGGTCTGTGGTTGTGTCAGGAAGGGCATCCGGCGTAAAAATAATTGCCAAGTCTTCATGCAACTTAGTTCGCTGTGGCGACCCCTGAAGAGGGGAGAAGCTGAAAGAAGAAAAAAAAAAATTTAAAATATTGTTTATCACAATAATTTCTGAGACAATTAATCGCCCAGCAAAATTTGTTATCGTGACAGGCCTAGGTACAACTTCCAGTCAGACACTAGAAGTAGCAGTAAGCATTGGTTAACCATGGTAGGACGGGCCACAGTTTATCTGAAAGTAATTTGCATTCACTTTAGCAAAAAAACGCTATTTTGGTTTTGTTCACATTTATTTAACAACCATAAAGTTTACTAAGATAGCCGTGGTGAGTTCAGGTACCTGTTGTGCTGTTCGCGGCTGCACCAACAACCAGACCAAACTAAATCAGTGGCTACAACAACAGTGTTCTGAACACGGACCCAAAACATAAAGAGTGTTCGTGTTAAAAGCAGTGAAGTCTGAAGAGACAACTCAAAGCGCTATATGTGAGCTCGTTTCACTTTATTGACAAATGGACGACGGAGGAAAACCTGCATCCTACTTTGTGGCTGGACTACAATAAACCACCGGAGAAGAGACGCCGGATCCTCAAAAGGATTGAAAACAGTAACGAGAATATCAGGTATGATTTCAAATGTATGGAGGGCACAACATTATAATATTTATTCATGTTCAGTATTACAATTTTCTCTGCAATTAACCCAAGCTTGGTGATGGAGGACTTTAAGGCATTGGCTCCATGTCTGCTTTAAGGTAAATAAGATCGTGTCCCACCACGTCTTTTAACAAAACGCCACTGCATAGATACTAATACGCCTCAGAGCTTTCCAGGTTGTTCATCGCTTGTGAACGTTGTGCCAAAAACTCATTGGCTGCCAAATGGCGGCCGCGGGAGTGTGCACGGGAAGACTTTAACAAGAATTTAATTAGATTAACACTTAAAAACAATTATTTGTTTGCTCAAAATTATAGTAAATGTGTGTCTCAGTTAAACTTTTACTTAATGAATGCACTTTATTGGTCAAATCAGCTGCATTTTGCCTGGGAGCTGGTGTTCCTCCCTGCACCGGCGGCGGAACGGGGACTAAGACTCCGCCCATGAGCTCTGGAGCCTTCATCCTCCCGCACCTCGCGGAAATGTGCCCAGCGGGAGGCAACCAGACATGAGGGGAATATTCCCCACAAGGGGGGATCCTCCACTGCCGTGCAGCCATCCCTTCCGCCTGGTTGAATCCCCCAGGCAGACTGTGCGGACCCCATTCGTTTACAAACTTTCTTTCTGCTGCTCGATTCCTGTTTTGAGACGCTTCTTTTTATTACCTGCAGTTTATCTGTAGAATAGGATTTTCTGTTTGGGGGCATTTTACTTGTTTTTCTCAGTTGTCTCAAAATGAATGTTTGTGTGTGTGTGCGCGCGTGTGGGGTGGGGGGTTAGCGGGGTCGAGGAACAACATATAAAAGGCTAGAGTGTCCTCTAGTGGCTGCAACTGGTAATGTTTACTGGTTTATGTCTACGAATGAACATTTCAAAGTAAAAAATTAGGTTATAAATATAGAAAAAAAAGTACATTAGTTGCTTTGATGTATAAGTTGCAGGACTTGCACATTTACGCAAAAAGGTGCGACTTACACAGCGGAAAATACGGTAATTAAAGGTTGAATGAATAAAAAAAAGTTTAGCAATAAGAAAGTTCGTAAATTGTTCGTTTTAAACATTACAAACTTTATGATTATGAATGTTCAAAAGTCTAAATGTGATTACGGTGATAAAACTCCTAAAGCTGGACACCAAAGTTCATGCTCAATAATCCAGGTAAAAATCCAACAATGTTCAGTCCGGTCATCTGGATGTTGTTGTTTTTTTTCCTGAGACGTTTCATCCTTCATCCAAAGAACTTCTTCAATCTGAGGAGCCACCAAACAAACTGATTCCCACAAGCAGCATACTCTATAGTGGGAAGAAAAAAAAAAGTTTACTGGTGCTAAGATGGCCTCCGGGGCCCGCCCTCTCTCTCGTCAACTCCTCTGAGACGGTCATGCCGAAGTGGTTCAAAACACCAAAGTTCATTATTAATCCAGGAAATAATCCAACAATGTTCAGTCGGGTCCTAAAGCTGGACACTGAAAGGGTGATTTCTTTGCACCACAACTTAAAGTTGCCATTATTTTTTGATTGACAGATTTACCTTAATATTGTTCTTTTGTGGTAATGTACCGGTACTATCAATGTTTGTGCAGACGGGTGATGGTGATTTTACAGTTGAATTATGGGTGTGTGCTGGGGGGAGGGCCTACACGACTCTCGAGAGCCTACCTACAAGTTAAAGGGGCCCTGATTTTAAATGACTCTCCGCTACTACTGCACCAAAGTTGAGCTTAATATCCGTCAAACTGAATGAGTTGAATTTTTATGTAGGCTAATTTTGATTAGCTGTGACAGCCATCTTAAATTAAATCCATTTAAAAACATACTGTATTTTTCGGACTATAAGGCGCACTTAAAATCCTTTAATTTTCTCAAAAATTGACAAATCCGGTGCGCCTTACGTATTAATTCTGGTTGTGCTTACAGACCCTGAACCGATTTTATGTGGTTATTGTGAATGAGTTGAATAAAGTTTGACTTATCTGTTTTGTTTCGCTTAATGCGCCTTATAATCCGGTGCAATCAATCGTTACTTTGAGAGTTTCATTAAAATCCATCCAGTTGTTCATGAGATATCCTGCTGTGCAGGAGGCGGTGGAGGAACTGGACGTGTGGCTGGACGCTCATCCTAACGAGGTCGTCATCGTCTCCTGCTCACACTTTGAATCTCTGACTGATGAAGACCACGAACATCTGGTGGAGTTCTTCCTCTCGCTCTTCAACAGGAAGCTTTTCCCCCCACAGGTGAGGCTGAAAACCTTTAAGGAAACGGAGCGCTGAATGACTGCTCCAGAAGCTGAACAGAGTTATTAGTAGAACACAACTAAAATGAGCAAAACGGCTGAAATGTAGTTTTAGGCTAAAATCTGAACAATGATGGCAAAAGCTTTGATGATTAAGACTACAGCAAAAGTCGCAAAGTCATAACTGAATGCTAAAATTAGCAGAGAAGTAGCAAACAGCTTAAAGTTCCACAACTATAAATGGGAGTTGAAATTGGCTAAATCAATAGAAAGGGGAAAACTAGCTAAAAGCTAAAAAGAGCAAAACCATTTTAATACACCAAAGTCCATGCTCAATAATCCAGGTAAAAACACAACAATGTTCAGTCAGGTCATCTGGATGGTTTCTTTAATTTGCTGAGACGTTTCGTCCTTCATCCAAAGGACTTCAGTTTGTTTGTGGCTCCTCGGACTGATGAAGTCCTATGGATGAAGGATGAAACGTCTCAGCAAATAACAGAAACCATCCAGATGACCTGACTGAACAGTGACGCATTTTAAAAGATACAACACGGAAGCTTAAAGCCAAAAGAAACAAAACTGAAAGTAAAAGTTAAAAGTAACAAAACTTAACTTAAAGCTAAATGTAGCCAATCTGTAGTGAAATACTAAATGTAGACGAACAGCAGCTAAAAGTGGCAAAACTATATTTAAAAGTGAAAAATCTTAAAAAGATAGCTAAAACTTAAATGTTTAGCGCACAAACTAAAAGTGACAAAACAGTTGCTAAAACTAGGAAACTTGTAGCTAAAAACCAAAGTTCATGCTCAATAATCCAGGTAAAAAAATCCAGCAATGTTCAGTCAGGTTATCTGGACAGTTTCTTTTTTTTTTTTGGCTGAGGCATTTCACCCTTCATCCAAAGGACTTCTTCAGTCTGAGGATCCACCAAACAAACTGAGTCTCACAAACAGGTAGCTAAAAGCTAAATGCAGCAGAATGATCACTAAAAGCTAACAAGTAAAGAAGCAGAACAAAGGTTAAACGTGGCAAAACAGTTGCTAAAAGCAGTAGAATGGTAGCTAAATGCAACAGAACAGTAGCTAAAGGCTAAAAGCAACAAATCAAACTAAAAAGCTAAAAGTAGCAGAACATTGGATAAAAGCTAAATTAGTTCAACATTAGCAAAATATAACTCAACCTCTGTATGTGTGTATGAACTGCACGGCTGTAGGACGTCCCCACTCTGCGTTCCTGTTGGTCTCGAGGCGGGCAGGTGATTGTCGCCTATGACAACCAGCAGATGGTGCAGCAGCATCCTGAGCTGTGGACTGGGATACCTTACTGGTAACTTCACAGTCAACTCATGTACATTACACTAGGCCTGTCGTGATAAACAATAAATCAATTAATCATATGATAAATGAAAATTATCAACCTCATTTTAATTTATCGACTTTATAGTTTCATTGTGTCTCGCTCGTTCTACTACTGAGCTGAGAAGCTAAGCTACGAGCTAAGCCAACAGGCCGACCTCGGGGAAAAAACGTCTGTCTTGTCGAAGCTCCAAAATTCACGATTGAAACCCGTGCCTTCGTGGAAAAAGTTTTTCTCTGCAAAAAGAAGCTGAGAACTTGTTTACTGATTTTTTTTTTATTAAAAGCTTTGTGTGAAAAATGCTATGCTAAAGAGCTCAAACCACACCGAGCATCGGCCATTTTGAGAACCGGAGAGAGACAGCCCATGTCACATCAAGGGCCCTCCCTCCCATTTTCCTTAAAGAGACACACTGCTCGCTCCCTCACTATCCATCCTTTGGTTCAGTTTTATACTGCCATCCGATGGTTGAAAAAGGTACTACACACAAAACAAGTTACCCAACATTTCTTCTTAAATTTGACAATAATTACTAATTATTGTCAAATTTCAAACAATATTATCGTTTATCGCAATAATTTCTGAGACAATTGATCTCCCAGCAAAATTTATTGTGACAGGCCTACATTACATTTCACACCACCTTTGGGAACGCAATTCAGTCTAATGGGGTTTAATTAAACCCAGAAGTAGTAATTTGATGTTCATCTACAACTCGAGACATTTGGAGTCAAGTTGACCCAAGATGGCTGACACAGCGTACTGACCATAGCCAACATAAAAATAGTTATAACTCAGTCAGTTTTGCAAATACTGAGGTAATATTTGGTCTGGTAGTAGCTGAGAGTCATCCCCAACTCATATTCCAAGAGCTAATGGATCATGTTTATTCTGTGTTTAAAACTGGTCACAGAGTTAGAAGACAAACTGCTCAGTGAACTTTCTGGCCTCATGGTGGCGTCCTTTCTACAGGTACGCCGACAGCCCGGACCCTAAGAAGGTGATCGATTATCTGGAGGCAAAGAAACGCCAAGAAAGACCAGGTAGTTATAAAATCTGAAAGGACTAATGTTTAAAACGAGATGCTTCTGTTTTTAAGAAGTGGAGTTGTACGACTCTCCTGTTAGTGGTTAGTATCTTACCTGCAGTAGATGGTGTTGGCTCGCTCCTAGTTTGGAGAGGAGCTATTTCAGAAAAACGCATCGACTCTTTCAGTCATACGACTGAAACATCTCTCGGGTGGACCCGGCCAATCTGAATGACTCTCAGGAGGAAGGGGAGGGAGTGTGATTTGCATGTGAGTTCAGCCCACAAGAAGAACAGAGCAACTCACTTAAGTTTAAAAGCTTCAGAATCTTCAAAAACTTTTAAATAAACACGATTTTGGTTAAATTACATGATCAAATGTTAAGCTGTTTGTAAATGGTCATCTTTTATGGTACACTTATGGAGTGGTGCGCACAGCTAGGTAAAAAGTTAGCTTTGCTAACCGCTAATTTGCCAACTAAAAAAATTAGCAGAGGCGAACACTAAAACGCTAACGTTTATCATCCACTGCTGTCGCTGACACTGTAAGACTGTCTGTAATGTGACAACATTGCAAGTGAACGCAACTCAAAACAGTTCATAAATCAAGTGTCTCATTTTGAGGTGAGCTTTCATGAATTAATCCAGTCCATCTGAACCAAAGAGGCGGAGCAGAACTCTGCTGTGCTGAAGCAGAGTGATGCATTCAATGTGTGTCGGACATCTCCCTCGTGTCCTTTACTAAAATTAACTCACTTTGGTAATCCCGTTTGTGGTTTACTACTTTAATAAACTAACTACAAAGCTGCTGTACGTCATTGTCAATATTCACTCAGTAAAATCTGTTTGTATCAAAGTAGTGTGAAATGTGTGAGAGAGTCACGCCCCAGAGACCGTGTGAGCGTTGTAAAGCACGCTGGGTAGGAATTATGTGTGCAATGTTTCTGACTGTTTACGATTTTCTTAAGGTGAAAATGGGTTTTTCATGTTATTTTCCTGTTCTGGTTTGTTTTGACATTTATGTTACTGGCTGTAAACCGACACCATGACCCAGATACAGTTTGTTCAATCAAACTTTATTTAGACAGGTAAATCCCATTGAGCCTTGAGGACTCATTTACAAGAGAGACCTGATGAGAGACAGCTTGTAGTAGATATGAAGAGGAGAAAAGCACTGCATATGTGGTGACATCACCGGGTGGTGTTTTGCTTAGCTTTGCATAGCACCGCTCTGTGTAAATCACCATTCCACTGTACGCCATGAATGCTGAGAACAGTTTTTAGAAAAATTACCATACTTGAATTTACCGAATTTCAGTTTAGCGGAAACTAATTGCGCTAAATGTTTTCGAAGCTAGCGAAAATGCTAATCCGCTGAACGGAAAGTTAGTTCCGCTATTAGCAGATTAGCAGAACTGTGCACACCACTGTACGTGTGATTTATGATTCAAATTTTTCAACAAAACCCATTTTGAATATATGAAATATCACTTTAATGTGGAAGAATTGGAAGAAAATGGACTCAAAAAGTGCTGAATCACTGTTATTACAGACATATTTATACAAAACAATACCTGTTTTATATTTTGAGCTAATCTTTCATGAACTTTCATGTAACGCGGTGACGTTTTGTTCTTTAGCTCGTTTTTACGTCTGCGGTCTGAACCTGACCGAAGACGCTCGTTACGTCATCCTCCATCCCCACCAGAATTTGAAGACCATGACGATGAAGGCGCTCTCACCGCTGCTCCGTTGGACCCGTGAGCAACGGCCGGGGCCTGAAGTGGGTGGAGTCAACATCGTGTGCTGTGACTTCGTGGGCGTCGGACAGTTCTGCTCCATAGTGATTGACCTGAACTATAAGCTGATGGGCGGAGCCTCAACTCTTACTGCCGCTATGACGTCACGAACATCTACAGACTTTGCTTGATTGCAGTTTTCTTTTCTTCTTGTTTAAATAAAGGCAAAATGGAAAATCTGTAAGTGAAAAATGGGCTCCAGCCTCACCGCTTCCACAAGATCTGAGGGTCAGGAGCTGCTGACCAAATCCATTGATTAACTGATCATCATCAGGGAAACCGCCTCGAGAAAACCAGGAGTTTTTGCTGCTTTGGAGCATATAGGTGTGTTAATTATTATTAGACCTTTATTTATATAGGTTAGGTCCCATTGAGCCTTGAAGACTCACAAGAGAGACATGTTACATACAACATACAGGCTGATGAGAAAAAGAGAACACGAGGGGGGGGGGGGAGAGCTTTTAGTTTATGCATCCTCCAGGAGCAGTTTGAGATAAGTTGGCCTGTCCAAGGCCAGCGAGGAGGCCAAATTCAGATAAACAACAATTGTTCGGGCCTCCAGACTCTGTTTTCTGTCTGCCTTCAGTTCTGCTGGTACATTCAATGGTGAATCCAAACAGTCAGATTTGTGGACATTCCACACGGTCCGTGCCCGTTATATTTCTCCAAGGTCGAATCCTTCATCCCGGCGAGTTCCAGGAGCTGCAAGTGGCCTACAATTCTGAGAATTCACGTCCAGCTTGCGGTTGAGCTTGTTAAGCTTATGAGTCTGAGCGCTCAAGGCACAAATTAATCCTTCACATAAGGCTGGCAGCTTTACCATGGCTGAAACTGCTAACCATGTCTTCCTAATTTGTCGATATCCTAGGCAACATTACGGCTCAGTGGTTAGCACTGTTACCTCACAGGAAGACGGTCCTGGGTTCAATCCCCGTTTGGACCTGGGGTCTTTCTGTGTGGAGTTTGCATGTTCTTCTCGTGCTTGCGTGGGCTTTCTCCGGCTACACCCGATTCCTCCCACAGATCAAAAACATGCATGTTAGGCCCAGGCCTCCCTTGCAAAAGAGATCTGTGATCTCAATGGGATTTGCCTGGTTAATTAAAGGTTAATAAATCTGACGATTGTTACGGTCACTGACCTCTAGGGGCTCTCTTCATGAGAAAGCTTCTTCTTCTTAGCAATAATGTTGCTGTATTTTTACTGTGTGAGCAATTCTTGAGTGAATAGCCTTAAAACTGTTAAAACTGTTCTTTTACTGACATCAACAGCTAGTTGTTTGTGTTACACCTAGTGCCAGAAATTAACCTTTGTTGTTTTGAGGAGGTTGTAACACCGATTCCAAAAAGCAGAAACCCTGTTATCATAAGTCCAATAATGTACTCATTTCTACCACCCCCATGGACAGCACAGATAGGCACTTCATCTAGAATTTTTTTTTTCAATTGCGTTCAGGGACCAGCTGACCAAATCCATGTTAATTTTTGATTTGGAAGATGTGTAAAGAGAGGGTCTGAGGAGGTTGACAGGACAAGAGAGCAAAAAAGAGGAGGGAGGGATAGAGGGTGAGAGCGACCGTCTTCGTCAAGAGCAAAAGAGAGAATAACACAACACCAAGGTAAAATGTCGGGGGGTCCTCCCCCAGAAATTTTGAATAAAGTAGATGTGATTTCCTTCATGTTGGTGTATTTTAACGGGTTGTTAAACATCTACGTTTACCTACATTTGTAAGCGGAAATGCTTACTTGAAGGAGCAGCTCGTATGTGATATTAAGAAGTTGTAAGTGGCTGTTGTGTTTAAAATGAATGTTTATGTACTTATTTTCAGTTGACATATCCAATGTAAGTTTTTTTCATTCAAGGCAGTCGTATTTGTTTCTAACTTTATTATTAGTAAGCCTGAAAGTTACCGGATCCAAGCAAACAGTTACCGGAACGCACCCTGTCAAAATACGAGTGTTCCCGGATCCTGTTCCGACAGAATCGGGCTCAAGTTAAGCCCTGGGTGGGACCTTCAAAGAACTGAGCAGAAACCTCAATGAAATGAAGGAACGCTGGAAACAAGAATAGGCTAAAATTCCTCCATAAACATGCGAGAGCCTGATAGTCCTACAGAAACACCTAGATGAAGTCCCTTTTGCTAAAGTAGGGTCTACAAGCTGTTTGGTCAGAGGGTGGATTTTGTTTTTCACTTAGCATTTTCATTTTGTTTTTGCCAAAAAACTGAAATCGGTCGTGTTTTTGGGTTACCTGATGTTAGGTTTGAATAATTTCAGAACCTGCTGAAGACTAGATCATTTTTTAATGTCCTGATACATAAAAACCATCAGACTAATAGGTGGTGGGCTTTACTTTCCTCTGACTGCAGCTGCATTTTGTTACTAAGAGTTGCACTTCTGTACATGTTACCAAGTGTTTTAAACAACTTTCCTGTTTTTTTATGAATCATATATTTGATATGAACATGACAAATTAAATAAATAAAAACAGCAAATTAAATCGTTTCTCAGGTTTTATTTAACCAGATGTCTCGTTTCAGCCTGATGCTCCCACATTACAGATTAGAAGCTACAGCTGATCTGTTAGTATATAAAAATGATAAAAACTACACATTTAAAATCATCAGATATCTGTACATATGTTATTAATGTGCTCACTGTGTGCACAAACCTTAAATCATCTGTGAGCGTTCGAATGTTAAAGCTGGATTAGAAAAAGGTTATAAAAAATAAATATCCCTTTGTCGTTGTATAAAGAAACTAAAGTATCTCCTCGTGTAGCAAAAGTGAAAACGATAATACTTGTGCCGTGGGTTGTCAGTGTAAAGAAGTCAAAAACATTTTTTTTAGAAAATACTTTAAGAATATTTCAACTAGTTTCTTTGGTCTGCTCAGACACAACACTTTTTTTTTGTTTAACAAAGATCTTTGATCACAGGGTTCATCTAATAGTTCTACATCTATCACAAGTCTTGTGATTTTACTGAAAATAATTCATTTTATGAGACAAAATAATAATCTGCAGTAACTTGCTTTTCCTGTTAATCTCAACTTGTTTGTGCAGTTTTGCTGAAACACAGAATTAGCTGGTCATCCACACAAAAACAGTCTTTTTCCAAAACGATCAAACTGTTTCTAAAAATATCCTTGTAAACATGGCACCGTTTCATGGCACCAACGCGCTGTTTCAGGCCTGTGTGTGGTGTAACGCCGCCATGAAAACACCAAAAACAAGACGAGTCATAAAACTTACACAAGAAGAAGAAGAGGACGTGCTGTGGCGTAAAGGTAAGGTTGGAGCGCATCGTTTTTAAAAGGTTGTTTTGGACCTTGTTAAGGTGCGGACCTAATACTGTAAAATAAGTTTCCCCTTTAACTGATGTTGAAATGTATTTGAGAGAAGCTCGGAATTAAATATGGCATCAAGATATCATGAAAAGAAGATGAGAGCTCTCTTAGAAACAGCAAATTCTAATCCATGTACATCCACTTCATTAAGGCTATGCCCACACTGCAGGTCTTTAAGCTCAATTCCAAGTTTTTGAACAGATCCAATTTGTTTTTGTGCACTCGTTCACATTAAAAGTTAAATATGATGGCTATCAGTCTCCAGTATGAATTGTCTACGGTCCTGATGCAACCTGCACGTTCAGAGGATAATGCAACGTCACTGGCAGCACGCTGTCTTTTTGTTTTAGTAAAATGTACGTTACGTTTGCATGTGTGTATCAGTTCTGAAATTGTGCAATAAGAACCGATTAAATTATCAAACATGATTATTTTGATCAGTGTTCACATGTGATTTTGCCTCTTGCCAGCTATTCTGGTGCAACGTTGTATTAACTATCGATCCCATCACATTAGCATTGATGCAAGCCCAAGTATGACAAAAACGTGTTTGAGCTGCTTACTGCTAGCGATTTGCTGACAGTTGCTGCAGATCACCTGAGCTTAACCTATAACATGAATGAATTTGTGTAGCACCATGTAGAAAGTAGAGCCCAACCGATATATTGGTAGGACCGATATTTTCAGCCGAGATACTGTAGATGTTTAGTGACATATCGGTATTGGTGATAAGTGTCCTATTATGTGCCGATATAAACACTTCTAATTTTCACCCCTAAAATGCTGGAACCAGCCGTAATTGTCCAATGTATCCAGCAGAGGGAGCATAAAGGCTTCTTCTAAGTCAAGGCCATTTACTTTAAGTTTCACTTTCAGCACAGTCAAAGCAGGGAACAATTCTCTGTAGCATAATTTGCTGAACAGAGAATGGGAAGTTTATTTGAATTGATCTGTAAAATGAAATAAAAATCAACAATAATTTATCTTCAATCCTCCACTAGTCATTAGCTACGTGCCTCTCAAGTTAGCAAGATTACATATAGATAACTAGCATAGGCTACTTGCCTTGTAAAACTTTAGCCAGATCAATATATCTAACGTAGAGGTAAAATATATATCAGTGCTAGTAACATTATCTTTGTTGTCCTCAATGAAATGCATTGTTTGTCATTTGATTTATGATTGCTGCAGTCAAATCTAATTAGGCCTTCACCATACATGACTGTTGAAACAATGAATAGGGAAGGGCGTTTGTTTAATTTATATTTATGTAACACACTTGATAACTTTATGGTGAATAGTGGAGGGTAGAAAATGTGAATGCATGTTAGGAAGACTGTTTTTATGACCAGTGTATCACTTGTAAACCTAGTGTGGGACTAGGTATGGCATGGATCCAATTAGCTTAGCTTCATGGTTGCTAACAGCTGCGCTAAATAAACAAGCCCCGCTCCACTTGCTGTTTCCTTAGACTCTTAGGGGTGGACAAAGCTCAAAGATTTTCCACATTATATTGGTTATCGGCATTCGGCTTCACCTCCCAATATTGGTATCGGCCATAGCCAAAATTTCCATATCGGTCAGGCTCTAGTGTAAAGAGTAAACAAAATAATCATTCTTAAAAAAACAAGTCATATTTACAAAGCATCACAGACGGTGTAAGGACGTGTTTGAGGTCTTTGTTCAATTTGAGTGCGATTATCTATTGGCACGGCCAACGTAGCTGTTCTCAACACAGAGTATGATGTAGGAGCTGGAGCAGCTGCTGGAGGTCTGCTGCATCAGGCTGCCACTCTGCAGTGGCGTCGCCATGCCCGTCACCACCCGCTCGCTGACGCGCCATGATTCACAGTAGCTATCGAGGTGCCTCTGACCCCCACTGGTCGACCCGTGCCACACCATCTTCTCTGGCCTTGGGAAGAAAACACAGCAGCTATAGCAACACTTTATGCTAAAATGCAGAACCCACCGAACCAGAGGAACACTGAAATAATCAGCCACTGTGCAATCTATGCTAGCGAGATGAGAATTAGTGCCACCATTTTGCAAGGAGCTATGTGTAGCAACATGGGCGTGCTCAGCGGCTGCCACCATGGTACCAGACCATCGATAAGAAAGTAAAAAGCCTAAACTCAGTGAAAGGGTAATGTTTTGCCAATGTTATTATTTTTGGAACCAGCACTTAAAAAAATACATCATGCTTTATAGGTTAGGATTATGGCTTATTAGTTCATGGAAAACAATCTATTCAGTTTCATCTGTCAGAAAATAGATTTTAAGAAAAAAATAATAATATTAGCCCTAAAATGACACTTTGCCACCGTTGCACCGTCTTCATCCAGATCTTTCCAAAATTTCTCTTTCACCTCTACGTCACATCCAACCTGTGGAGCATAACCACTGATAACATTTAGCATCAGGACTTCTACCTTCAGACAGATCGTCCTATCTGACACTCTTTTCACCTCTACTACATTCTTTGCCAACTCCTCCTTCAGGATCACCCCAACTCCATTTCTTTTTCTATCCACACCATGGTAAAACAACAAAGTCCACGGTAAAACAGTTTGAACCCTGCTCCAATGCTGCGAGCCTTGCTGCTTTTCCACTTGGTCTCTTGGACACATAAAACATCTACCTTCTTTCTCTGCATCATGCCAGCTGGCTCTCTACCTTTGCCTGTCATTGTCCCCACATTTAGAGTTGCAACCCTCAGTCCTACATTCTTGACTTTTCTCTTCTCTGTCTTTCTCCTGACATGTTTCCCTTCTTGTGGTCTTTGACTAACAGTAATTTCCGCCGGCACCCTTTTTGTTAGCAGCACTGGTTACGATCGTTGTTAACCCGGGCCTTGACCGATCCTGTGTGGAGTCGCTTGGATGAACTCACATGCTAGTTTTGGCAAAAGTGTTTTACGCTGGATGTCCTTCCTGACACAACCCTCACCATTTACCCAGTCTTACACTGCCAGTTACACTGGCTTGTTCTCCCTAGTTGCTGGTTTCTGTTCAGAAATGTTATAAACCATATGTTTATTGGTTATCTTTTCTGAATACATTTTCTTATACAGGACAGCTGTTTGAAATGCATTGTTTTTAACTTGTAAAACATTTAAAAAAATTAAGAGAGACTGACATTAATGCTGACCAGGCTTGTTGGGCTTCTTACAGAATACCCGACTCTTGTTTAGTATATGTATATTAATATATTATTATTAATGTATGTTTATTCAAGTAAAATAATTCTATTTCTATGTGTTTCAGCTTATGACAAAGTGCACAGAAGGGAGTAATGTAAACATGACAGTGACACAAATCACTCCTCACAAGATGGCTTTCAGTAATCTCATCTAGCACCATCAGTGGCCATCCCAGTTTTTCTCTAATTCAGTGGGGATGCACTTGACAGATTTAGATTGTTGTCTCACCACGTGTCATCTCTAAGGATGTCCTTGCCGTTAAAAGAGTAGATTGAAATGTTATCTTTTATTCTGCCGTCGTGAAAGATGGCGTTCCAGTTGTCAAACAGAACCTCATCCTGCAAACAGTCACATCAGGTCAGGCTTAAAGCATAACTATGGACTTTACATACTGTAGGTGTCTAGCTGTTAGTAAACCATTTAGATTATCTGGTTTACAGTTTAAAGCTGTTCAATTTAGCTACCTTCAGGTTAACAATTGGCACATTTCCTCTGTCGTCTCTACGGACGATGCTGTGGATATCCTGGAGTTTAGAGGACAGGAAGGCTCGGAAAGTTCCCTTCAACCCGATGGCCTGAGCCTGGCTGAAGCACAGGAAATCTGCACCTGAATTTCCTCTCATGGCGCCCGTCTGAGGGCTGTTCAGTGCAATGAGGTGGAGCTGTGGGGAAACAAACACATTTCATGTTGTTCCATATAAGTATGTCCTTTCTGGTCACCTCAGACCTGCTTTGGAGAACGTGGTTTGTCTCACCGCTGGTCCAGAGCTGTGGCTGTGGATGTGACTCGGATGAGGTGGAGGTCTCTGCAGAGGCGTGACCGGGTACCGAGGGTCTACGTATCGACCGTCCGGTCTGTTGAAGCGGTCTGTGTAACTGGGGTACCTGGGGTCAGTCTGTGGAGGGTACCGAGGATCTGGTTGGACTGGATGCGCAGGTTGTCTGTAAAGGTCTGGCGAGTATGGGACGATGGGCGGTGGCGCCACAGCTCCAACCTCATTACCCTAAAAACATTACGTGTGCTTGTTATGTGTTAAACAGGAAGTGTGTTGTAAAAAATCTAAATCTACACTCACAGGTAGACTTGGTAAAGCAATATAGTTCCCCAGCTGAAAATATAAAAGCACAAAAAAACCTTCAATCAGAAAACAAAATAATCTTGTATCTTCTGGGGTGGTTTTAGATCCAAAGATCAAAGTTTCACCTGAACTTGACGAACTCCATCTCGGACTCGTACGTAGAGGTTTGTTTGGTCCGTTATGTACACCAGAGACCCTTCAGGCTGTCTTCTGGCTGTGGCTGCCATGATGTCATAAGACTTGAACACGATCACCTACGAACAAAATAAATACACGTAAGTCTAAAAATGGTCAGTGACAAGGTTCTGCCTTGGCAGGGCGCTTGGGGTGGGGGTGAAGGAAATGGCTCAATGTGAGGGAGACTGAGCGCTACCTCCATAACTTTTTAGCTAGTGCGTCTGTACTGTGCTCCACTAGCTTAGTGCTATGTCAGTGCTGGCAGTTGTTGGCAAGGGGGGGTGGGGCAATTGGATCGGCAGGGTGGGGGGGGACGGCTCAGCACGAGTGGAGGTGGAACGCTACCTCCATAGTCATAGTTTTTTAGCCAGCACGTCCATTGGGTCTCCGGCGGTTAGCACCATGTCCCTCGCCCACCTTTGTCGGGGGGGGGGGGGCGTCATCAATGGGCAGGGCGCTTGGTTCTGTTGACAGAGTGGGGTGCCCTCCATGTATAATGGTGGGGGAAATGCTGTGCAATATTTCCCCTAGTTTACTTGCCTTGGCAGGGTGTTCATATCTTCCGCGATTTTTGTCAATGCGGGTGGAGAGGGGATGGCTCAGCGTGAGTGGAGATGGAGCGCTACCTCCATAGTCATAGCTTTTTAGCTAGTGCATCTGTTTTGCACTCCACTAGCTTAGTGCTACATCAGTGCCGGCAGTTGTCGGCATGAGGGATGAGACAGTTTGATAGGCAGGGTGCCTCGGGGGGGGGGGGGGGGGGTGCTCAGCATGAGAGATGAGTGCTACTTTCATAGTCATAACTTTTTAGCTAGCGCGTTTGTATCGCACATCACTAGCGCTGGCACTTGGCGATGAGGGGGCGTCAATAGGTGGGACGCTCGGTTCTGTTGACAGGGTGAGGCACCCTCTTTGTATAATAGTAGGGGAAACACTGTGCAGCATTTCCCTTAGTTTACTTGCCTTGGCAAGGCGCTCATATCTTCAGCGATTTTTGTCGATGCGGGGGACAGGGGTGGAGACGGCTCAGCGTGAGTGGAGATGGAGTGTTATTTCCATAGTCATAGCTTTTTAGCTAGCGCAAATGTATCATGCGTTGTTAACTTAGCGCTATGTCAGTGCCAGCACTTGTCGACTGTGGGGGGAGGATCGGTAGGCGGGGCGCTTGGTTGTGTTGACAGGGTAGGGCACCCTGCTTGTATAATGGTAGGGGAAACACTGCTTGTGTAATTTTTTTGGTGCCAGAAAACTTAAAAATATTTAGGGTAGTTCGAAATACATCACAATCAAGTTTTCACTTTATGTTCAAAGTGTTCAAAGCAGATAAATATTTTTAAACATTTCTTTATGCTCGTTGAGGTGCTCTGCTTCGTGGCAATTACTGAATATGGAATGACGACGTGGAGTAAAGAACAACCAGAAATTTGATTATTTTGTCGACAAAATAAGACAAATTTAGCAATGACGTGTTGAATTGAGGTGAAGCTGTTTATTACAGCAACAAATCAGTGGATGGATTGAGCTTTGAGGGAAAACTGGATTTGCTTTGTCAAAGAGACAAGAGCAGATCGACCCAGGCTCTGGTTCGCCAGCAGTTAGCTGTAAAAATTTCCAAAAGTGCCCCAAGTGGCGAGCCATCAGAGCAATGGTAAGAAGCAGGAAGTTTCTTTGGTAAAAATAGTACCTCAATGGACTGCAATCATAAATATTAATGACAAACTTCTCTCTATTCTATTTTGTTGTCTCCTCTTGCTCCAAATTAAAGACAAAAATGTCTGTTTTTTTGGAGCTGCCATGTTGTATTTTTAAAGCCAGATTTCACACCTGGGATGTTTGTACGCTTAAAGAGTCCAGTTTAAACAAGTCCTAACTTGTGACATCGTCAGAAAGAGTCTAGCATGACAATTTTCTTACGCCTCAACTGATTCAAACTAAATGTATGAAATAAATGCATGTTTTACCATATAGCAGAAAGCTATATAACATATATACTGGTTCAGCTTTTCAGTGGTTTAGGTCCTACCTTTCTGATAGAAGTTTTAGCGTGATGATGGATAGCTTTACCTCCGTTTCTGCTGCCCTTCCTGGGGTGGGGGTACCCCAGGGCTCTATTCTTGGTACTCTCCTGTTCTCACTTTATTTTCTGCCATTGGGTTTTATTTTCAGAAAGCATGGTGTGCAATTTAATTTATATGTGGATAACTGTCAAGTCTACTTCCCTTTGAAACATAATGGCTCCACTCAGTCTCTCCTGGACTGTCTCAATGACATTTAAGGATGGATGACACTTCATTTACTCCATTTTAACGAAAAAAAAAAGACTGAGATTATGATCTTTATATCTAGTGGTCCTAGTAGTTTCCCCATCTTTGATTTTTCCTCTTTGGTCCCATACGAAAAATCCATTGTTACAAATTTAGGGTGAAAATGGACCCCTGCCTAAAACTTGACTGCCATGTCAACAGCATGGTTAAGTCCTTTCTTTCAGCTGAGGCGCCTGTCAAAAATCAAGCTCCTCCTTTCTAGGTGCCACTTAGAGACAGTAATCCACACTTTTATTACTTCACATCTGGATTATTGTAACTCTCATTTGATCGGAGTTAGCCAGGCCTCCCTCTCACGTTTACAGCTGGTACAAAATGCTGCTGAACGATTTTTGATTGGTACAGGTAGGCGGGAGCACATAACTCCAGTTTTGATGGTCCTTCATTGGCTTTCTGTCCAGTTTCAAATCCATTTAAGGCAGAGTGGCAAGGCTTACAAATTGTACTAGAAGCAGCTACTAGGGGGTGCTCATGTTCCGTAGCTTCAACTTCAGGGTTCTGGTATTTGTGAAAAAGTCTCCAAACTGTCTCCAAACATTTTCTTTAGCTCTCAGCTTCTTGCTTAAATAGCAGAAGCACATTGTTTCTTGAGATTTGAACATGTTTAGAGAATATGTACAACAAGGTTTCTTCTTAGTTCTAAGATCAACTCACCCCTGAGGAGGGTCCAGGTAGACCTGGTGTTCCAGGTGGTCCCGGAGGTCCAGGAATACTGATAGCTGCCATTTAAACAAAATGAAATGAACACTTAACAAGTCAATCTGAGAAGACCTCATGTTAAGCAGGGAGTGTGTAGCTAAATATTCTGAGTGAATTAAGTGGACACTGGTTACTGCAGATCGCTGCGACCTACGATTCTTGGGCATGTTATCCCATTTCCTGCTTCCTGCTAAAAACACAAACAAATCTACATGCAGTTCTTTATGAAATGTGCCCTGGAACTAGCCTGAAAACAAGGAGATTATAAAGTTTTTCTCAACATAAAAGCAGTTTAGTACTCTGCCAACAGGAGTTAATAGCAACTAATCCAGCACATTTTAATAACATCAGATTTATTTTTTTTACAAACAAACTAAAATTTTGGACTAAAGAAACATAAACGTAGTTGATTTAAAAAGCCTTTACAAAACTCTAATTTCTCAAATATACTTTTTATTAGCCATATTTGCCAAAACATTAAGTTTTTGCAGAAAAGCCCATTTTGAATCGGGATGAACAGACCTGCTGAAATAAGTTCCTCCTTCTCCCGAGAGGCAGCTACGGTGTGGATAGGCCTTTATTTTGAAAATTTCTATTATTTTTTTAACATGACTCACTCTGTGTACCCCTGTAAGGTCCAGATAGGGATGGTCCAGGTGGCCCTGGAGGTCCTGGAGGCCCAGGTTGTCCATCGTAGCCTCTTCCTGGATGTCCAGGTGGCCCCTGAGGTCCCGGTGGTCCAACAATCGATTCTCCTGGAGGGCCCTGGTCAGAGAACAATCTTTATACAACATATGTAGACAGTTTATTGGTTCCTGAGGTGGACTCTTACTGGAGGTCCAGGGACTCCCGGTGCTCCAGCTGCACTGCCTCCATATCGGGGGTCATAATATCCTCCAGGTTCTCCTTTCTCTCCTTTCAATCCCATCTCACCTTTCAGCTCATTCTGGTCAGAAAAATGTAAGAAATGTAATCAAGTAGGAATCCAATTTGAATAATGAATCCATTAAATTAAATATTAAATGTAAAAAGAAAGGCTTTACCTTAAAAGTGTAAAAATCAAACCCTGACTCCAGGCCTAAGTGATATAAATCATTTGTTTACACAGAAATCATCCACTTTTTGGCTTTTCTCTGCATGTTTTATAAGATGTTACCTGGAATCTGAAGTGTCCCTGGTGGTCCACGATCACCTTTCTCTCCTTTAACTGTAAACAACAACAACAAAAAAGGCAAGTTTAACACCAGACGTTTTGTTTTATAATGACAATATTTAGCTTTACACTGGTGAAGAGTCTCAGTCATCCAGGACATGGTAAATCCAAAACAAGATTAAAAGAACCCCTGTCATGAGGGTCGATGGGGCAATCTGCATATGTATCTAGCTGAAACTTTTTTCTTTTTTTCCTTCCTCCTTGCTCTCGGTGAAGGCGGACACTTTTTCCTCCTGATCCTTCCCCTGCTTCTCCTCTTTGTCCTGTGAATCTTTCAGAGTCTCTCTTTGCATATCTTCCGAACTGTAAATTATGGATCTGATCAGCTGGTCTCGCGATGCAACTCAACAAATTTTCTCGATGAGAAGACAGGGCGAAGGAGAGCCCTCCTGCCCTGACAGGACACTTGCAGCTGGATACACGATGGATTCCTGGGGGCAGTGGAGATCGTGTATCTGTCAGTATTGTCTGTCGAGGATGTTGAAGATGTGTTCATAATTGGATTTATGATAACAGGATTTCTGCTTTTTGGAGTTGGTGGTTACCCGACATATCGACAAATTCGAAAAACGTCGGCAGCTGTTCTGGCCATTGTAAATCTGCCTGGCCTGTGTGAGGGAATGTGCCGTGCGGTGAGCACTCAGACTCAGATGATGTGTGAGCTGAGCCGTAAGCTGGACGCGATTCTTGCTGAGAATCGTAGGCTATTTGCAGCTCCTGAAACTCGCTGGCGGGAAGGAATTGACCTTGCAGAAGTTACAAGCTCGGCTCGGTGGTACTGACCAGTCGCCAATGAGATGTACCAGTGAGACTTTAAGACAGACGGAAACTAACAGAGTCGGCCTGACCCAAAACGACTGTTATTATCTGAATCTGGCTCCCCCGTGTCGGCCTTGGAAGACTATCTCAAATTCTCTTGGATGTTATGTGAACAAGATGCTCTGCTCCCACTACCCATTCCCTTCCCCAAGGACATCAGTGGACCTGTGTCAGAGCTCTACCGAGGCCGGCTGATAAACACTGCACCATCACTTTCACGAACTATGGGGGAGGGGGTGGGGGGCTATCTGGAACAGTGTTCACGGACTTACTTGCAAACGCATACACTCACTTGCACAGTTAAAAACACCCACCCCTCAACTCATCGCCTTCGCTGGCCTTCCTCCTTTTGCAATGCTCTCTTGGGCGGCCTGTGCTGGGATCCCCTCCCACCTCACCTTCACCCACTCCACATACGTCTAATGTCATTTGTATGTTGCTTTTTTTGTGCTAAGGTTTTTTATCAACTTTCACACTGTGTCCCTAACAGGAGACAGTGTGAAAGTTGATTTTTTTAAATCTTCTCTTCCCTCGTGTTCCCTTTTCCTTATCTAACAAAAAAGGCAGCGCCCCTCATGAGGCTGCAGCCTCAGGCACCCCATCTACCCATGATGTTGTTTGTGTTTCTTTGGACGGGCTGTACTGAAATGAAATGTTGTTGTGCTTCTTTGCAATGACAATAAAGGCTGAATCTGATTCTTCTGATTCTTCTTAGCTCAGCATTTAACTCAAACCCTACACTCTCTGTTCTTTGAATTGAGAAAAGCCTTGGATAAGAAGTGAAACATCTTCAGTTACAAATAAAGTCCAGTTGTTTTTGCTTTTAATCTTGTTTTGGAATATTTAACTTTATGGAACAAAAACTTGACTTTCTTTGTGAACCTTAGAGGAGAGTGATGTCTTTAGATATTAAAATTAAAAAGCAAACTCACCAGGATAATAACCGGAGTGCCCGTCGTATTCCTAAATAAAAAAAAGACATTAAATGTTTACTATTAAAACTCTAAAACTGAAATATATAATTAAAATATGTAGTTTAAAGAAATAAATAAACCACAAAAGAAAAATCACATTCAGTCTCAACTCACTCCGATTCTGTCGGTGGGATGTCCTGGATGTCCCGGAGGTCCTGGTGGTCCCGGTGGACCTGGGGGACCCTGAGCAATGAGAAATATTAGTTAAATTCAGCCATTTCTGAATCATAAGTGTAAAATCTGCAGCTCTCACAGGGTGACCGTAACCAGCTCCAACACCTGCTTCTCCCTTCCCTCCTTTGGCGCCGTTTAATCCCGGTCGACCCTGGAACATTGACAGAATCCATTTTTATTCTTTTGACACAATATTTTAATTAGTTTTTAGCATTTTATTAATTTTTTTCAACATGGGCTATAAGACAAGAACATGAACCCTTTTACCTGCAATAATAATAATAATAATAATAATAATAATAATAATAATAATAATAATTTTTTAATTGATTAAAGTTGGCATTTCTTACCGGCCTTCCAGGGAAACCAATCTCTCCTTTAGGACCTTGTGGACCATAGGGACCCTAAAGAAACAGGCTTACTTGTTACACAAACCTTCTCAACAAAAAATAAAAACTTTAAAAAATAAAAAACTAACATTCATTGAAGGAATGGAATTTGGACGCCACTTTTCATACCAAACTTCTAAACTAAAATCATTTAAACTAACGACTCTCTTGGGGATGACTCTCTGCTACTACCAGGGGTGTGACGGGACACTTCTCACGAGACGGGACAAGACAAGACTGTAAAGACGGTTTTTAAGAAAAATGATTTGACCACAAACTGGACTAACACCAAAGTTCATGCTCAATAATCCAGGTATATGTCCGGTCATCTGGACGGTGTCTTTTTTGTGCTGAGACGTTTCGTCCATCATCCAACGGACTTATTAAATCTGAGGAACCACCAAACAAAACTGATTCTCCACCAACAAAATACTCCAAAGTGAAAAAAAAAATTTTTCACTTTGGAGTATGCTATATCTATCTTATCTATATCATCTATATCCATATCCGTCTATATTTGTATTCATCTCTGTTTATATCCATCTCTTGTCTATATCCATCTCTGTCTCTGTCTATACCCATTTCTGTCTCTATCCATGTCTATGTCAATATCTGTCTCTGTCTCTATCCATCTCTGTCTCTGTCTGTCTATGTCCATCTCTGTCTCTATCCATCTCTGTCTCTGTCTATATCCATCTCTGTCTCTGTCCACCTCTGTCTCTGTCTATGTCCACCTCTGTCTCTGTTTATATCCATCTCTGTCCCTGTTTATACCCATCTCTGTCTCTGTTTATATCCATCTCCGTCTGTTTATATCCATCTCCGTCTCAGTCTATGCCCATCTCTGTCTACGACCATCTCTGTCTCTGTTTATATCAATCTCTGTCTCAGTCTATGCCCATCTCTGTCTTCGTCCATCTCTGTCTCAGTCTATGCCCATCTCTATCTACGTCCATCTCTGGCTCTAACCATCTCTGTCTCTGTCTATATCCATCTCTATCCATCTCTGTCTCTATCCCTCTCTGTCTTTATTCATCTCTGTCTCTGTCTATATCCTCTCTGTCTATATCCATCTCTGTCTCTATCTATATCCTCTCTGTCTATATCCATCTCTGTCTCTATCCCTCTCTGTCTCTATCCATCTCTGTCTATCTCCATCTCTGTCTCTATCAATCTCTGTCTATGTCTATGTCAATCTCTGTCTCTATCCATCTCTGTCTCTGTCTATATCGATTTCTGTCTCTATCCATCTCTGTCTCTATGTCAATCTCTGTCTCTATCCATCTCTGTCTCTGTCTCTATCCACCTCTGTCTCTGTCTATATCCACCTCTGTCTCTGTCTATGTCCACCTCTGTCTCTGTTTATATCCACCTCTGTCTCTGTTTATATCCATCTC